AGAGGAGCATCAGAACTGACAAACGTAAATATGTGGAAGATTTAGCAACGACGGCGGAAAAGGCTGCAAGAGAAGGAAACATGAGACAATTGTATGACACGACAAAGAAACTCTCTGGAAATCGCCACAAACCAGAACGACCAGTGAAAAGCAAGGAAGGCAAGGTAATCACCAACATTGAAGAGAAACAAAACAGGTGGGTAGAACACTTCAAAGAACTCTTGAATCGACCAGCTCCACTGAACCCACCCAACATCGAAACAGCACCCACGGACCTCCCAATCAATGTTGGCCCACCAACAATTGAAGAAATCAGCATGGCCATCAGACAAATCAAGAGTGGCAAAGCAGCAGGACCGGACAACATCCCAGCAGAGGCACTTAAAGCAGACGTAGCGGCAACTGCACGGATACTCCACATTCTCTTCAATAAGATTTGGGATGAGGAACAAGTACCAACAGACTGGAAAGAAGGACTTCTGATCAAAATACCGAAGAAAGGCGATCTCAGCAAGTGTGATAACTACAGAGGCATCACTCTTCTCTCAATACCGGGAAAAGTCTTCAACAGGGTATTGTTAAACAGGATGAAGGACTGCGTAGACGCCCAACTTCGTGACCAACAGGCAGGATTCCGTAAGGATAGATCGTGTACAGACCAAATCGCAACTCTACGGATAATTGTGGAACAATCAATTGAATGGAATTCATCACTCTACATCAACTTCATTGACTACGAAAAGGCATTTGATAGCGTGGACAGAACAACACTATGGAAACTTCTTCGACACTACGGCGTGCCTCAGAAGATAGTCAATATCATACAGAACTCATATGATGGATTACACTGCAAAATCGTGCATGGAGGACAGTTGACAAAGTCGTTCGAAGTGAAGACCGGTGTTAGGCAAGGTTGCTTACTCTCACCCTTTCTCTTTCTCCTGGTGATCGACTGGATCATGAAGACGTCAACGTCTGAAGGAAAGCGCGGGATACAATGGACATCTAGGATGCAGTTGGATGATCTAGACTTCTCAGACGATCTGGCCCTTCTATCCCAAACGCAACAACAGATGCAGGAGAAGACAAACAGTGTGGCAGCAGCCTCAGCAGCAATAGGTCTCAATATACACATAGGGAAAAGCAGGATTCTCCGATACAACACAGAATGCACCAATCCAATCAAAATTGACGGAGAAGATTTGGAAGATGTAAAAACCTTTACATATTTGGGCAGCATCATTGATGAACAGGGTGGATCTGATGCAGATGTGAAGGCGCGGATCGGCAAAGCAAGAGCAGCATATTTACAACTGAGGAACATCTGGAACTCAAAGCAACTGTCAACCAACACCAAGGTCAGGATTTTCAATACAAATGTCAAGACAGTTCTACTGTATGGGGCAGAAACCTGGAGAACTACAAAAGCCATCATCCAGAAAATACAGGTGTTTATTAACAGTTGTCTACGCAAAATACTTCAGATCCATTGGCCAGACACTATTAGCAACAACGTACTGTGGGAGAGAACAAACCAGATCCCAGTGGAGGAAGAAATCAGGAAGAAGCGCTGGAAGTGGATAGGACACACATTGAGGAAAGCACTCAACTGTGTCACAAGACAAGCCCTCACATGGAATCCTGAAGGTCAAAGGAAAAGAGGAAGACCAAAGAACACATTACGCCGGGAAATGGAGATAGACATGAGAAAAATGAACAAGAATTGGATGGAACTAGAAAAGAAGGCCCAGGACAGAGTGGGTTGGAGAATGCTGGTCAGCGGCCTATGCTCCATTGGGAGTAACAGGCGTAAGTAAGTAAGTAAGTAACTAAGTCGTACCTTAGGATTATAACCCGTTAGTTCTATCATGTATGAAATACAATTTTGAATAAATATTATCAACGAACTTGCGATCTCGATTTTTGAAGGCCATTGTTCACTGCAGTAAAGAAATACAGGAAAAATTGCTATTTATTATATCCGTCCTCAAATAGACAGATTGTCATCCCATTTGTGCTACATATAATATAAGTAAATAAATGGGATGAGAGACATTCAAATCCATATCTAGATTTCATTTGCTATCAGTCTTTCATAATTGTATGGTTTTTACAATAAATAAATTGCTAGCTTACTCAAAACCTTTCTCAATTAACAAAACAGACCAGCTGAATTATTAAAAAAAAACCATATGCATCCCAAGTATCCGTGATTTGTTATTCATGGCGTTCAAAAGAATGAATTTTTCCTGCATCTTTATCATATATAACTATGCCATGTACACACTCCAAGTCGACGAAAGGATTTCTAAGTAGAAGATCAATCTCTAGAAAATTAGATGAACAAAGAGTAACTATTCAGAAAACTAGGTTGAATGCATGAATCTGTCAGACAGTATTTTACATAGCCATTGCAAGTGTGACAGTTTTGAATCTGCCAATAGTTTGTGAATAAAGAGAATTCAGTAAGTCTCTCATTTACAAACATTGTTAGTTGGTGAACTTGAGTGTAGACATCCATAATTAAGCTGGTATTTTATAACTCATGAAAGAGTAAAGATCTGATACACTTCGATAACCTAACCTGAAACTAGCCTAATTTTATTGGGGTCGCCATTTCAGAGTCTCAATTAGGAGACAGATTATAAAGAAAATAGAAGTTTTATAAACCATGTTAATTCAACTGATCCTATGATCTCTCTTTTTACTTTTTTTTACTGACCACTGCTTTTAATCATCATCTGGATTTTTTTCAGTCAACGTTTAAATTTCTACTGCTTTTCATTGTATTTACATACTGACAAACTATGTTTTCCTTACACCTATAAATTTAGTCGAAGCTATAAAAGTTCGGAGATTTTTCCTTGTTCGCCAAATTGTCTATCAGATTACTGACAAAATAGACATACGTCGAGTTACCTAGGATGAATAATCATTCTACGAAATCATTTATTATCAACCAATCAACAGTCCGTTTCTACAAATACACACTCAATAATCCATTAAATTACACAAATAATAACTGAGATTAGTACTGATGGAGTAAGTATAGGAACTTAAACGTTACAACTGTTTCTATTGATCTATAAATACATCTTTTTGAAAAATCGGACTATTCACAAAATACGCACCATTAGTTTTTCTGTTTTACAACTTCAAATAAGAAACTTTTTTAGAGTAGTAGTAGTCTAGTCCACTGTAAATTCAATAAAATACAAGTTTAAAATTTTATAAATGGAATTTTCTTAAATTTGAAATTAGTTTCCGGCTTAGTTCATCAGTTATATTAAGTAGAACACTAAATAACTTAACCATGAAGAAAAGAATTTACAGGAACTTTTCACTTTTTTTGGAAAAAAAGTATTATCAGTATGGGGTTGTGGAGATTATTAAGTTTTTGATTGAGATCATGAACCGATTAATATTAGACCACCATTGAAAACCTGTAAGCACTAGATGACCCTGGGTTCGAATCTCGCGAGCGGGATCGTGGATACGCACTGATGAGGAGTCCCACAATAGGACTCAAAGGCCTTCCAATACTTTTTTCAGGTACGTTCATATACAGACAATCCTGTATCACAGTATTATTATGCATATTTACTTATGTATATCTGGACTACATTTTTTAAAATAATCTATTAATCATGTGCATAGTTGACAATATCATTATTGCGATAAGTAATAAGACGAACTATGTAATGAACGTGTCATCGGATTATCTAAAATTTGCATGTCCGTGATTCACTATTTCTTATTCTTTAAATCATTAAAGTAATTTTGATAGTAAATCGAAATCTAATATGGAGAGTATCATAAAACAATTGTTAAATATACATGACATTATTATGCAAAATTAACTTCGGAATTAAGAAATACGATTATCTCGTTTGTTATAAGTCTGTTTAACTGTAAAAGTTAATGTTGTCAACGTTAAGAATTGCAATTAGTCAGTTTCATTTTCGACATACTTACATGTTGACCGGATTACCTTGATATTCCCATTCAACCAGAGGTTTTTATTCATGTTGGATAGTGACTAATAATTGTATCAAGCTTACAAGTTCCAAATAAGATAAAACGTGTTTCCTGAGCTCAAATGCTCACCAATATCCAACTTAAATAAAAATTTCTTAATCATTGTTACTATTTTTCATTTTCTGTTTACTAAAAGCTGTATGAAAAAATGATTCTGATCACTCTGTATTTCCTGACTGGTAAAAAGGATTTCTCTTGAATTGATGAGCTGATCTGAGTTAAAATATCACTGGGAAGCTGAAAGCACTTGACGGACGTTTCGTCCTAGTATACAACGCCTCACTAGTGAGCATCCTTGAGACCCTCACGTCACAATCGAACAAACGACCCTCAGTCTCACACTGGAACACTTAATATCTAAACCACTGAATCGTAATCCGACAGTATCATTTTCTAACTTCAATCAATCCGTAATAGTACACGACTATCTCTCATTGTCTTCAGTAGGTAATTACCCCTCACTCGACACGGTTTAGCTTCACTGATCACGGTCTCTCACTAGAAATGTTGAAATTTCCTCTGGAAATTAGTTACTAGTAACCACATAATAAATATATGTGATTGTTGAGATTTTCGAATTTCACTGAAATCTTGAAGTGAATTAAATTTAAAGATCATCGCGCAATGTTGCGGATTGATTAAAGTTAGAAATTAATACCATTGGATGCCAATTCGGTATTTGCAGACTAAGTGTTCCCGCGTGAAACCGAGTGTCCTTGGTTTGATTCGGACGTGAGGGATCGTGGATGCTCACTACTGAGGAGTTGTATGCTATAACGAAGTATCAAAGAAGTTTCAACTTCGATCAGTTCATGATTTCAATGAAAATGAACAATCTTTTATTGTCCCAGTTTGTTATCAAATTTATTCATGTCCATAAGAACAGAATTCATTTGTTTTTACATATGACGTGATCTTAAGTTAATGATGATGATATACGATCATAAAAATATTTAATAAGTCATGTTACTAATAAATATTTATTGAATTATTGAAATATCTAGAGTTAAAACATAATAGTTTCTGTGTATGTTTTATAAATCAGTCAACATTATCATCAACATACAAGAATAAAATAAAATTATACTAAATTAAGAAAAGTTTACACTATAAAAGAAATTTATAAGTGGTTTATTGCAGATTATAACTGTTAGAAACTAATTTACACAACGGAATAACTTTCATTCTATAATTGTTTGAATCTATTCAGAAGTATATGAACTATGTAAGATGATAAATTTCAAGACAATGATTGTTTCAGTTTGCAATAGTAAAACAAATAAAACAGAATTGGTGAAACTATAATTTGTGGACGATCATTGAGCGACGCTAAAGTGACCTTGAGAATGTCCATCTACTAACCAAGACTAAATGAGTGTTATAAAGCAATGTGAAGAATAAGGATTATGATTTTCGGTTGATGGTAGAGGTTAGGAATTAGATTTAGGGTTTTCATCACGAAATGACATAAGCTAAAATGCCAAAACGCTATTTAGCCAAATGGATGAATGAATTTCGTGCCAAAATCTAAGACCTATTATCCTAAATCTGATTGGTTCGTCCATGAGTTACAGTCTCGGCCAAGAAATTATTAACTTCATATTAATCTAAATTTTTTTCTAAATAAGAAATTGGATTGATGAATAGTTTAACTATGTAATTCTTCTAACCTTCTGTTTTTCTTTTAATTTTAATTTATCAACTTTTTTCATTTGTGTTGCTTCGTTTTGTTTCATTTTCTTGATATTTTTTCTATTTGATCCAGTTACTTCATTAGCTGCCCCTGCTTCTGCTCCAGGCAATAAAAAACTGCCAAATATTGATGATTTTAAGTTTGTATCAGCTAAATTAACTTCTTGATCATTCTCTATTTCATTGTCATCATCATCATCATCGTTAACATTATCAAAGGGAGTAGAAACATGATCAGGGTAATCATTCATATCATGAATATTCAGTAAAATGTCTTTATTTAAAGAATAAAATGAATCAGTATTTTCATTTGGTATTACACTTTCTGCTAATTTACGATTTTGTTGTTTATTATTTAATTTAACAGTATTTTGTTCTTTGATATGCTTTGTTGGTATTTGTTGTTGATTTGATTGTTTTAAAGAAGGTGAACCAGTAGATTTGATTCCTTGTATTGATGTTTTCTTTGAATTTATATTACCGCCATTTTCTTGTTTATTATTTGGATGATGTTTAATTGTATGTTCATTTTTTGAATTGATATTAGATTGAACAGATTTTGAATTAAATGATTTTATTTTAGATTTTATTTCATTGACATTATGATGATTATCTGGATTATCATTCATGTTATCATTGAAATCAAATGATGGAATTGCTTGTATTGTATTCTTTGGTAAAGGTTCACGTAGTTTAGCACGAATACGTATTAATTTACGTTTAGCTTCATTAACCATATAGGCTTGATGTTGTTCTTCTTGTGTTGGTTCACGTATTCTTAATACTTTTTTAATTAAACCAGAAGGTGATTTAACTAATTTATAATGTAATCCACCATCACGTCGACAATCTGGAATACCGTCACCATTTGCATCAGGATCTAATACATCAGGAATACCTTAAAATAAAAATTAAAGAAGGGTAGATAAGAAAAGAGAAGTCTGAAAACGATAAACACAGCTTTTGATATAGAAGACTTTTGAAAACTGTTAAATTTTATCGTTTACATCATGGACCGACTTTAATTAGATAACCATGAATACCAAGAATTTAAATAAAGCTTTATTTAAATTCATAAAGGGAACCAATTGCATGAAATACCAAGAATTACTGAACAACTGTTTTATTCTAGTATAGCTTAACTTATCAGCAGCGTCCATCCACGATTTCATTGAAGATCGAACGCGTCATTAATGAACAATACTGAAGAAATTCATGCTATGAAAAAGCAGTTGTCCAGTACTTACTGATTTCCAATTCTTATTTAACTAAGTCAGTCTATCATATAAACTATAAAATAAAACTATCGGTAATTTCAGTTATTACGACGGATTTGAATAAAAAATGTAGATTGAAAAGTATTGAAATTTCCATACTGGAAGTTAGAACAACACATATAAGCAAACAATATCGTTTTCAGTCAGCTCTTTGTTATAACTGTGACTGCAGATTAGACGGCAGCGCATTATCGATCGAACCAAAGACGCGTAAACACGTAAGGACGGCCTAGAGTCCTGATTGACCCTGCTTCCTGTTTAGCCCAGCCAGTCAAGTCCAGAACGCAAGTCTCAGCCTCTGAGATATGAATCGTTATATTTCAAGCATACTCTGTTTATATACCAATCAAGCAGACCACATCGTACCATAAAATAGAAAATAACATTTGACACGTGAAATAAGTATTGATCAGTACGAAAATGACACGTGAAATAAATATTGACCAATAGGAAAATGATACCATCTCTAGTCCGAGAATAGCATTAGACTTAATAGAATAATTTTGGGATATTTTCCTGAATATCCCGACAATGTTTATCGGACTTTGTAATATTTATATGGGTGTATGAAAAATTAAACCAACCCAGGCAGTTTATGAGTCAAACATAACAATTAAGTAGATTACATAGTTAAATATATTTTCATATACATAACCAAATATTAGAGTAAAACCTAGTAAAGATCTACAAGAAAACAATATTGCTCATTTATATCGATTATTCACGTTATAATCTACCCATTTCTTACATGGTTTCCTAGTTCATCAGTACAAGCTATATATTGCTCCTAATTTTAGTAATCTACCTCATTGAAATGTTAGTACAATATGATTTAAAATAATAAGTAATTAGGGAGAACTAACGAAGGCTTTCCGATATATATTATGCTCAATCACTTTTATAAAAGAATTTGAAGATTTATTAGTATTTTCGTCCTCCTTTGTCCTTATTTAGTAAGATTATTATTTCTTATATTATTGTTTTATTTGTTTCAGTTATAATGGAGTTGTTTTTGGTTCTATGGTGCATTTATGTGCTAAGTAATGGTCATTAGTTCCAAAGCTGTAAGTTGCTGTTTTAGGCAACTGGCATTAACTTAGGTTTTTTAGTCACTATTGTAAAGAAGTAAATCATGAAGTGACACATCCTGTTTGAAATTCCAGTTCTGTATATTTCCTATCTTACTTTTGATTTACTTTTTCTATTAATTTGGTAGATATCAAACAACTTGAAATATGACCCTATTTCGATTCAAGTATTCATGAGTGTTATTTTTAGATTATACGACGAAAAATTCAGAGCAGGAATCTCTTTTCAAAGAACTTTTTATTAAGTTATACAATCGTAAATGTGTATGAAATTTTAAAAACACGATGATGTAATAGGTCATAGAGTGTAAATAATAACAATAAATTATTGCTTGTACAAATAAAAAGGTATATAAAATTAATAATTATAAGCACGAAGTTCAGCGATGTTTGCTTATAGTTCCTTGAAAAAGCTTGGACCAGATCACCGAACGAGACGGTAGATTTACTTCAAATTCAATCAGTGAGATGTTAAAAATATATTATTCCTCATTAATGTCTTAAATAAACTCGGTGTTTAATTACTGTGAAACTGTTCGTTCAAATTTAGACGAAAGTTCTTGTATATTTACGATTGTACAGCTTGATAATAAATTCGTTGAAAAGAGATCTCGCTGAATTTCATGTTCTTATATTTAAATGGGAACTATGTATGTTTATATAACAATATGTTATATTTCAATCAAATCAGTAAGTTTTGTCAATCCAACTAAGAGTTATAAGCAGTTGATGGGATTTCACGAAATAAAATGATTTCGTACCATTTTTTCATTTGGAATTTTAGTATTTGTTCTGATCAGATTAATAAAGAGAATAAATCGTCGAGAAGAAAACTTTCATTGTCTAAATGTTTTCATTTTTAAACAAATTGTATAGAAATAGAATCAACCGATTTGTGACATCATAATGAAGTATGCTAAAGAAGGAGGAGTACATAAGTCTCTTGGTATATACCGAAACAATCCAATGCACTTGAAGATAAGTAATCCATCTCTTATAGAGTAAATTGTGAAAAATTCATGAAATAGATTGAAACCTGAATACATCATATTCATAACTAAGAGTGTATTAAATTAAAGCCATATTGGTACAACAGGTAGAAGGCTGAACAAATCATAGGTTTCTTACAAATCATCAGTACATGCATGTCTGAACAATAATAAAATCAAAGGTCAATTGGATGATGAATGTAGTAATACAATAAAAAGACGTTTCTTTTTATACATACGACTGAGTTGGTCTGACAGTACATTATTTTCTGTGATTCTTGATTTCTTTTATCATTATAGAGTGATTCATTGACATATGATACTACCAGGATATTATATAGGTATACTGATGAGGAAACTGATAAGAGGTTATTAGCTAATCAGTCAAGCACTATTATAAAACCAACCATACATAATCCAACTACAACAGTGCTTCATCACAAATCCTTAATATTTCCAACGGTAGAGTGTTTTTCCATGGCTGTCATACTGGACACAGTAAACTTAGGCGCATAGTTTAAAAGTTTCAAATCACAATGGTATACACATTTACTCCTCTTTATTCTTCATTGGTTTTTCTCACAATTGACGTCAATTCATAATCAAAATATCTAGAATTAATCATATGTATTTAAACTACCAATTTTCTTTAAAAAAACCCATAATAATTCCTACCATCATTATCATCATCTTCGTCTACGTGGTTTAATAATCCATCCATATCTGAATCTTGTGTTCTATCGATTTTTCCATCATTATCCAAATCATTATCAATATGATCTGGAATTCCATCACAATCTTTATCATTTGGATCGCCTAAATCGACATTTAACAAGTTGGCTTCTTGTCGTGCAATATGAGCTGCAAACAAAAAACAGCAATTGTATTCATAAATTATGGTTTTTTTAAGGGATAACAATATACGTAGAATCACACTCAAGCCAAATACTATGTATGATACTCCAGTGCACATTTAAGCCTAAATTATACAAACACAAGTGTACTTAGTGAAGAAAACTACATACAAATCTAATGTTATTGAATTATTTGTATAAGAGGAAGGGGGTACCGAGAAAATCACAAATCTGCATTAAAAATGGTGTAATATTGATGGTATTTTAAGTTGACAGATACTCATCAAATTAATTACACTAATGAATTCAATAAACGTTTTTCAATACAACTAATGATGTTCTTAGAGGTGGTTAGTAATAAAATTAAGAAATTTAAGTGCTCAGTAATAATGTATGAATGACGTTTATAACAATTACAACATAATATCTACTCAGAATTCGTAAATGTCACACGTGGAAATGTAAAGATTTAAACATTTACGAAGATAAGCGACTAAAAATATTAAGTTTATCAAGTAAATTAACGTTGGATTGTCTCACATTTATTTACTAGTTGAAGTTTTAACGAGCCAAATATTTTTGAATTTATTACATAATCAATTGTTATTCATCTTTTTTATACTGTAAAAGTAGAGTTAATGCTATCTATGTTGTTTGGTTTTCAATCCCCTAAACAATAAAAATGTCATTAATTCGTAGATCGATTATGTCCATGTTGAGCAAACATCCATTTTTTCATGTAATAGTCTCATGGATACTATCGACGAATTCTATCTGGTCGTTAACTCTTGTTTAGATTCCTGTCTACCTCTTAAAACGGACAGGTTTAGTAAACCTTACGAATTATATATACCAGCTAAATATCGTAATAAGCTAAGACGCCTACAGAAACGTTATTTTAAGTCAAACGACTTCACGGCAGTTGTACAAATAACAATAATTTTTAACCAAATTAAAGAGAAACATAGGTTAAAAGCCATTAATGAGGAGATACTAGCACTTAATACTAACTCAAAGGTACAAAACTTAACTATCCTTTTCAATAAACGCGCTTAAGCAACTCAAAATGTTGATATACCATGCATCCAGCATAATAGCACTTTTATATACGATTCTAAAACTATAACAGACCTTCTCAGTGGTATTTTTGCGAATGGTGTAGTAATCACAAATGGCTCTGCTTCAAGAGTTATGTGTGTGACTAGCAACTCAATAAAATCTATCTCTTTCACATGCATGAAAATTAGTCAGGCTATAAGTATCCTTAAGCTTTCGAGAGGTGATGGAGCAGATGGGATTTCATCCTTTGTCTACAAATATAGTGGTCCGGATATTCCACTTCTTCTAAAGCTGTTTACTCTATGGAAACAGGTTCTTACCCTTACTGTTGGAAAACCGCGTACATCATACCACGTTACAAATCTAGAGATTAGACTGACATGAACAATTATCGGCCGATAAATATTACTCCAGTTATCTCTCGAATTATGGAAAAATTATAAGTGATGAACTTTCGAACTATTTACTCGCTGGAAAATTTATCAATGATACTCAACGTGGATTTCTTAGAAATCGTTCTCGCATGACATGTCATTTTGACTTCTTTAATTTAGTCTATTCTTTACATAGCCAAGGATATCTAGTCTTAGTGCTATATCTGGACATTTCTAAAACCTTCGACATGGTTAACCACCAACTTCTTATAGGTAAACTCGCATCTTACGGGGTTCAACACCCTTTGCTAGCTTGGTTTGATTCCGTTCTCAGCAATCGACATCAAATAGTTAAAATTAACTCTTCATTGTCTAATGCTGTCCCTGTTAGAAGTGGTGTAATACGAGGTAGTGTCTTAGGCCCTTTGCTCATTTTAGTGTTTATCAATAATATTTGTGGAAGTTTTTGTGTGGGTAACCCCCTTCTATATGCAGATGATCTTAAAGTAGTATACTCATTTTCTCCACATCAGCTGAAAAATATGCGAAATTGAATCAGCATGAAGCTTAACAAGGTAGCACAGTGGGGACGGTCAGGGTTAGGAATTAGATTTAGGGTTTTCATCATCAACTAACATCACTTATAATGCCAAAACTCTATTTAGCCCGATGGATGGATAAATTTCGCGCCAAAACCTGAGATCTGTTATTTGTAGAAAGCTCTTTTTCCCTAAATATATATATTTTCATCAATCTGATCAGTAAATACATTGTTCAATGTATCAATTCTTTACACATATAACATTGAACATTCATAATATCTATAACCTAGGCAAGAATAGTTTATGCTAACAGATAACAGGGAAATAGGTCACATATAAACACACAAACAGAAAAAAACAGATATGAACTCATGGAAAACTACTTGAACAGTCATAATTCTTTGTAGAAATGTACTAATATTCATGCTAAACATTAAAGCATGCTTTCAAACTAACGAAGCTACAATTAATAATTGTTGTAGTAATTTTACATTGAAAAATCTTATTTATCATTTCATGGCTCGTTTAGGAGTATTTGCTATTGAAACTAATTTGTTATAGCAAAATGTACAAGGGGGATTAAATACATAAAACTGTAACGCCTCAATAAATTACATTTTAACATATATTTTAAAAGTTTTAGGTCCAATTTCAAATAGTGTTAAAAGAAGTTATTGTTAAGCCCATTTACGTTAAATTCATGAAATCTATAATTTAAGCTTTAAAAAATAATTATGTCGTTGTGAAACAGATGATGATCATGATCCAAGCATAATAATGAGGAACCACGTAGTCGACTTTTGAGGTTATTGGCAGCTATAAACACTCCATGTTTACAAATATGCCAGTTCATGTCATTGTTAAAATTCCGAACTTTGGAGTTCTAGGAATGCTTTTTAACAAACTGTTGTACTGCTATTTCTGGTTTACAATAACACAGTTAATATAAGTAAGTACAGTGTTTAATCTGTTTATTCTGGTTAGCGTTTAAACGGATTAAATAACACTATGCTTACTTATATTAACTGTGTCATTGTAAAAAAGAAGAAACAACGATACAAAAGCTTGTTAACAAACAGGCCAGATTCCGTAGGGATCGATCGTGCACGGACTGAATCGCCACACTACAGACCATTGTTGAACAATCAATTGAATGGAACTCATCACTGTACACCAACTTCCTAAACTCTGAGAAGGCGTTTGACAGTGTGGATAGGAGAACATTATGGAAACTTTAACACTATGAAGTACCTGAGATCATCAACATCATCAGGAATTCATAAGACGAACTACACTGCAAAGTGGTTCATGGGAGACAGCTGACACTCATTCCAAGTGAGGACAGGAATAAGACAAGGCTGCTTATTCTCCCCCTTCCTCTTTATTATGTTGATCGACTGGATTATGAAGATCTCGATATCTGAGGGGAAGTAAGGAATACAATGAACAGCTCAGAGTCAATTGGAACATTTGTTCTTCAAAGATAACCTGACCCTTCTATCCCATACACGCGGGCAAATAACCAGCGTAGCACCTGCCTCTGCATCAGTAGGCCTTATAAAACACAAAAGAAAAAGCAACATCCTCAACTTCAACACAGAGAACACCAAACCAATCACACTTGATAGCGAAACTCTGGGAGAGGTGGGAAGTTTCACATATCTGGGCAGCAACATCAATGAACGTAGAGGATCTGGTGCAAATGTAAAGGCAAGGATTGACAAAGTAAGGGCAGTGTTCCTACAGTTGAAGAACATATGGAACTTAACTGTTAGCCAATATCAAAGTCAGAATCTTCAATACGAACATCAAGACAGTCTTACTGTAAGGAGCTGAAACGTGGAGAACTACCACAACCATCATCAAAAAGGTAGATGTATTTCTAAACAATTGTCTATGTAGGATATTGAAGATCCTTCGGCCGGATGCCATCAGCAACAGCTTACTGTGGGAGAGGACAAACCAGGTTCTACCTGAAGAGGAAGTTAGGGAAATTCATTGGAAGTGGATGAGATATACATTACGGAAATCATCAAACTGCATCGCGAGGCGAGTGCTAACTTGAAAGTCTGAATAGAAACGGCAAAGAGGAAGGCCAAAACACACACTGCGCCGAGAATTGGAAGCAGACATGGAAAGGAACTATAGCAACTGGAAACTACTGTAAAGGATTGCTCAGGACAGGGTTGGATGGAGAATGCAGGCGAGCGGCCTATGCTCCTCCATGAAAGGTAACAGGTGTAAGTAAGTTAATTATAATGTTGTGGAGGTCTTTGAAATTCATTGAAATCCTGGAAAGACCACCATTAAAGACCTAGTGGTCTAATTTAAGTCACTTCAGGATTTTAGTGTAATTCAAAAATCTCAACAATCACATATAATTATTATGTGGCTATTAGTAACTAATTTCCAGAGGAAATTTCAACACTTCTAGTGAGAGACCGTGATCAGTGAAGCTAAACCGTGTCGAGTGAGTGGCAATTACCTACTGAAGACAATGGGAGATGGTCGTGTACTATTGTGGATTGACTGAAGTTAGAAAATGATACTGTCGGATTACGATTCAGTGGTTTAGATATTAAGTGTTCCAGTGTGAGACTGAGGGTCGTTTGTTCGATTGTGACGTGAGGGTCTCACGGATGCTCACTAGTGAGGCGTTGTATACTAGGGCGAAACGTTCGTCTAGTGCTTCAAATTTTTTAAATGGTGTATTAAAGTAGATCACTTGATATTATTGCAGGGTTTAGGGAATAAATAATTTTTCTTGTTGTTATCAGTTAAGTACTTTTCATGAAAAAAAACTAAACTAATATAACAGTAGTTATTCATAACATAAGTCGATTAGTTCTTAAATTTGTTATTTCTTCTTCTCAACCTATTTTTTATATGCGAAGAAAGTTAACTCACGTTCCATGATGACATCTAGAAAAAATACACCATAAATAAAATACAATACTGAGGAACATGTTAATGTATGACTCGTTAGTTCATGTAAAATAATAATTACTCCTTAATTAAAAGTAATGAGATAAGGTCAGACATTGTTGGAGAAAATGATAACTTGAAAGTATGTATGATAATATTCACTAATCGTACTCTGGCGTACATAATAAAAGGTGCCTATATATATGTAGTTTTAAATGTCTTGACTACAAATCTGTGTTGAAGTATAAGTGGGAAATCATTTATCTTTGTAAAGAAAGGTGCAACAATAAACTCTAAAAACATGATAGACATTGCACACATTTGTAATATTCAAAAAAAAATCTTCATGCATTTTCAAACTCTAGACAAACACAACAGTTTTAAAGTAAGAATCATTATCTTAATACTAAATTGACAAGTATCATAGTTCACCATGTGTGTATTGTACATCGTTAGATATTTCACTGTCGGACATTCCATGTGGAAATTTTTTCACAAAAATTGGCATATAAACTCGAATTTTTTTCAGACGATTATCTGAAATAATTTTTTTTGTTTTTGATAAATGTGATTTAGTTGATGAAGTTTAGATTTTAAAAAAATAAGGAAAACAAAAATGGATAAAAATTGATTTGAATAAATAACTTTAATAGGTAAACAAATATTTCTCCTTCTTTACGTCCCTTTAAATAACACTTGTAAGTATACAGTTGTGGTGAACACGAACACCAGTGGGGATAATCCAATGTATTTAACACAAAATTACAGGACTTGTTAATAAAATCTTACAACCATAAAGTAAATGCTTAATTTGCAAAATGTCCATCGATTGTCTCAAAATAACTCAGACTTCATTGTTCTTGCATTTTCATACAAATTGGAATCTGTTTCCATTCTTTACTGTTCGATCCTCATGCCTCTCTGCTGCCAGACGTTCTGTTCACGACTAACATCGCATACTACTGATGTCAATATAAGTAGCACACAGTTATGTATGAGATTGTAGTTTTTTGTGTTTTAGCGAGCTTATATACACTTAAGGCATACTGCATACTTAACGGAATTAACAATCGTTTCGTGAACTTGTATAACAGACTGATACAAGCTGTTATTTCAACTTATCTGTCATGAACATATGACATTGTAATCTGATTTGTTATATTTTATGTATTCATATATAATTAATCTTAACCTTTCCTTTAAGTATATTTTTGTGTATCCACGCTTATCTATCTCTATTTGTCTAAATTACTATTTGTTTACTTTCATACATAAACTGATTCAAAGTTAACTAAGTGTCTTCCAACTAATATTTGTCAAATATAACACAATGTTCATTTATTTTGTCTTGCGATATTGTGGATATGCACTGCTGAAGAGTTCTATAAAAGGACAAAATGACTGTCTGATGCTTTCAGATTTTCAACAGTTGTCTTAATTTGATCAGTTCATCATTTCAATGATATTCATCTTTTGTCTGATAAATTGCATTTTACTTTTTATTTCTACATTAATAATGACACTATAAGAAAATATAATGTGCTAGTAAAGATAATATATTATATTGTTTATCATCAGATAAATCAATCAAGGTAGTGAGCTCTGAGGATTCAGAAATGTCAGTTATCTTAATCTTCAATAGTTGTAGTTTGTAAATATAACAACTATTTATGATTTAAACATGTTACAACAAAAAGGTACGCATCTTTTACAATTAACTAAATTATTTCTCTCATTTCGATTTTTTTAATTATGCACTACCAACAATATTCAGTGATCAAATGTCAATCCCTTTCTTTGCTAAATCATTCCCCTTGAATATAAAAGACTTTCTTCAATTTTCTTCGGACAATAATATTGGTCTAAATGTTTGATTTGACTTTGAAAAATGTATGGATGCTAAATTAGTGTTAGTTTTAATTCATACGAATTTATGTAAAGAAGTGGATATCATTATAAGATCATTCGGACAGAGTAATGGTGAGAATAGAAAACAAAAAAATACAAGCCATTTCATTCTTATTAATGTTTCAAAAGATGAATTAAATGATATACTGATGTATAATTTAATTCGTCTATTGGTTGTTTGAATCGTCTCACTGACGTTTGAGACTGTATTTCACTATTGTCTTGTTGGCATATGTGCATCGTGTGCGAATCGCCTCAGTATTACTTTAAGTCACAAACATTTTAAGCAGAGATGTATAGTGGTTAGTAGTAGAATCTTGAACGCGCATTTTATCCTGCCGACGTGTCTCAAATAGGATGAAATGTTCGACCTAGATTCCACTACTAGCCACTATTCAATTCTGCTAATTAAAATGTGGTCAAGTAGTCAGAACTGAGAGTTAGATGGATTGGGTGGTTTAAGAAACAACACCGGGGAGCAGGGAAGAATACTTTCTACCTGAATATTCAATGAATCTTTCGTATTGATAAATAATGTGTTTCAGTGTTGCGTTTTTTCTCAAAACTTTTGACCACTGAATTATAAAAGCTAAATACAATTATGAATTCTGAATTCACATTTAATATTGAAAATATCCTCATGTAAATAAACATAATTATTTTAAGCAACTAAGTTATCAGTAAATATGTTTCACGAAAGGGATGCTTATTGTTACTATTTAAAAAGATTATTGAATTTGACAAGTTGACTGCTGAAAGAAACATATAGATGGATAAATTACTTTGAAACGGATAAATTCAAATCAAAGTATTAGTGATTATTGTGTATACCTGGGATAGCTTCAAGAAAACGCTTATGTTTATACAGCAGAAATGACATTGAATCAGGATCTCGTTGATCTGGTATACCATCGTTATCATCATCTTCATCGATATGATCGGGTATTCCATCATTATCACTATCATGTGGTTGACAATCAATGATCCCATCACCATTCGAATCCTCATCATCCACATCTACAAAAGAAAATATAAGGTACGTTAAAAATCGATTTATTGGTCAGTTAAAAGGAAGTATAAGATGGTAAAAAGTATATAGCTTATTGACTTATCATTCAGTTTTATTACTAACAGCTTACAGAGTCACTATCTTATTATTAACTGGATTAGTTAATGAGAACCTCTCTTTTTGGAACTATACTTCAATGAGAAGTCCCAGGCTTATTTTTGAAGCCAGCAATATTTCACTTGCATACTAGTAGGAATTAACTGGATAGTAAAATAAATAATCATTACCGTAATATTAAGACAGTTTATCAAAATTTCTATGACTGAATATCGGTTCTGCATCTTATCTATATTTAACCTAAAATAAACATCTTGCTCAACTATGGGGTTAAGATTCTCATGTCATTTAAAAAATGATCACTATTTTGAGCGTTACACAAAAATCAGTATACATAAAAAGATAATATACAAATCTGGCTGGTTTACCAAGAACACATTATGTCCTCCTTAGTTGTGTCAAATAATGGCGAACTATTATGACCTATAGATATGACTATGTGAATATTTATCATTTCTACAGTATGGTAATACAGGGATCTAAGATAAGTTGATTCAAAGTTTATAGAACCTTTGATCAAACTAAGTCAAATATTAATTTCAGGTTTTGCAAGAATGAAAGATTGTCTAAAACTGATTTTATAATTAGTTCAAACTTTAAAAATTATAATTTTAAAAATAATCCAATAAAGGCACTAATTAATACATAGAAAATATTATCGTTTCTTTCAATGGATTATTTTGTCTAAAACTACATCAAACACAGTGACTAACCTGGAATACCATCATTATCATCATCATCGTCCCATTCATTCAATAAACCATCATTGTCGCTATCCTGTAATGTGATTTTTTAGGAAAAAAATACAGAAGAAAAGTGCATTATAACGATTATTTTTTTCCCACATCCATTTAGTAATAGTTTTACGTTATTGCTAACTAACATTGATTTCAATTCAGGCTCTGGATATTAACAACGGAATAACTGAAGTTCTAACTAATATTTTCACAATTGCATTAATAAGCCGATCTAAGCTAGACCACTGTTGAAAACCTGGAAGAAATGGACGGCCGTTTTGTCCTAATATAGAGCTCCTCATAAGTACTCATCCATGATTCCTAATGATCGACTATTTTGAACAATAACATGATAATGCAGGAACATCCGTCTGATAAGTGCAGAACCGGGCAAAATTCCATTACTAGATACAGTCCATCTGTTCTAAAAGTGAGCATGAGTAAACAACTGTGTATAGGCCATCCTCATGTGATGTTCGTATGCGAATAGAGAAAGATTAAAATATTAACGATAGGATAACTTAATTCCTTATCAATAAACACATAAGATAATAAATTAATATTCAGGACTGGACTTCAGTAACTAATTGTTACTAGAATTAAAGGTTTGCAGAGATTGTTTGTACCACAAACTGAATTTATCTTCAATCAGTAAAAATTAAGGATCACTGAATACCTATTTTTCAAAGTACGAAACTCCTCAGAAATATGTACCCTTGATCCTACCGGAGATTAGATCCAGAATCTTTTGGTTTTTCGCTGTATGTACTCTTCATTCAAACCGCTGGTCCAATTAATTATTGATATTCAATTATCTTTGATTTAAACTTACAGACATGTTTATTTTAATGTTAAATATGATATCTGACTGCTTATGTTTATTTATTTTACAAAAATACCTTTTTGGTAACTCCTTCTTGGATCTCCAAATATCTGTTCATCAGTTAAAGACTTCCGTTTATTGTTGCTTTTACTGGGACATTAGAGCTTGATAGAATTTCATTCACTCATCCAATATATCTGTTACATATTGATTCAATCATTCATTATCTTTTATCACAGATACAATTTTAAATTATTTTGATCGTTTTGAGTAAGTGTTTCGGAATTCACTGTCTAGTTGTTTCCGCCACCAGTGCAGATCAATTTTATGAATTTAAATTGATCGGACTCGTTTTTAAATATTTAGATTGATATCAATTGCGTATGATTAGTTTGGTTCTAAACGTCTCAGTTGTTCTGTAACCTAACTAAGCGATTACACTAGAAACGAGACTTTCTGAGAAAAATGCCGATGATCATGCTTTTAAAAGTAAAATCTGACTCCAATCAGAGCTTATTTGGCATTAGTTTGTATCATCAAATGACTAGAACATTGTCGATCTAGTGGTAATCAGTGATGTGAAAGCAGAAGTCGAAATGTGAGATGTTACAAAGAAATATACTTCAGACGAACGAAATCAGCAGAATAAACCAAAAACTACAGCATTAATTTTAAAATCTGAAGAGATTTACCAGAAAGTAACCCGTATTCAGAAAAATAAGGCTATGATTTACAATCAGTAAACATTTAATAAATGTACAAGGGGGTTCGAAATAGGGTTAGTACATATTGAGAGACAATTAACCGTGTGTGTTTATTGACTCTTTGAGAAGAATTTCCCCTGAGTTATTGCGGATTAGTTATTCGAAGGTAATAATAATAAAAGGGAACATGAGATCTTGTCATGCTACCCAAAAATAATACAGTGATGTTTCTACCTCTTAGATTTCAAATGATTCTTCATGCGGTGACGAGTTACATCTGAATGCGATTCACAGCCATAAACTATATTAGATTTTTTTCATGCTGAAGACTAGTCATTTGTGTACCATAAGAAAACTAAAACTCATTGAACAAACCCAGATTATGAACATTGTGCAACCTCTTCATCTGACAGTTTTGTGGTTAATTTATACTGTTGATAATCTTATCAGTAGTTTATATTGTTATACAAAATATTTCGCCAGCTGGATTTACAATGTATTTGAGGTACTTTCAAAAATAGTTTCAATGTTAAAAAAATGTACAGTTAAAAGCAAACAGAAAGGTAAGAAAAGTTGATTCTATAATAATATTTTGGTATTTCACAAAATATACAACCATGGGCTAGTTTTTTTAGGCATAACATATGGCATTTCCACTAGTATCCCTAATTCTAGACTAAGAAAACCACACCAGCATTATTAATCTAAATGTTAAACTACCCCAGATCAATGAATGGAATAACGGAACAAACTGATTTCGTACAAGTGAAAGACTGTCAAAGAATTTTTTATTTACACCGTCAGTCATTTCATTTGTGTGCATACATTTTTTCTGCATAAATAAAAGTACACGAGAAAATGTAACTAAGAATACATGTAACATTTTTTTATCCCATTGTGGACTAATAATCAGTATTTTATTCTCTAACTCACATCTTCTTTTCAAAGTTTTTATCTATCTGTCTATTTAAATACAAAGGTGCATAGAGTGTCTTTTTCATTCTAGACTGAAATGCATTCAAAGAAATGTTATTATACAATTGTGAAATATTGAAGAATGTTTAGATCATGAGTACCGTCTTTCAGAATTTAAATAATATGAAGTATTTTTCAGTTGTTTCATGTACATGAAAATAATTATTATAATGCGTTTAGGTATATCTATTTGGAGATTTATTTTATATACAATACGTTTGCTCAATTACTCCTTACCTTAACGCACGATGTTTTCTGGGGTACGACTAGTGGATTGAAAGGAAGCTAAGATCACTCTAACCAAAACTTGATGTCAGTCTATGGAGTTATTTTTTGTTGAACTAATTCATATTGGTAGGTACAGACTACTTAGTTGGGGTTCGTATGATTCTGATAACCAACGGTTAGTGATGTTGTTGTAACATGTCTTGGAATCTGTCATAATGGATTTATTATATTGCACTACTTATTTCACAAAATCATTGATTATACTTGGACCATATAATTTATTCGTAATCTTTTCTACTTCTGTTGACACTTTTGCTACTTCGGAAGGTGATTTGATAATTTTATTTGTGTGTACGTATATGGTGTAGCAAATTGAATTAAGTCGGGTTCTACACTGCCTATGAATGAATGACTTGTATGCATTACTGGCAATACGCAATATCATGAATAAAAATTCAATATTGGGTTGTTAACAAAAATTGACTTTGAGTAGTGTGTTTTCAAAGCATAAAACAATACATTAAATTCATTGATATGTAAATATATGCACGCAATATGCAATTTATCGTTAATACTGATAATCACGTAGTTTGTAATTCCTTGAATTCCTTTAGAATTTTAGAAAATTCATTAATTTCCCTTTTTAAAGAAATGTAATTTTACTTACCTGTTTTGTGTCAAAATAACCATCGTTATCATCATCAGGGTCAACAATGTCTGGGATCCCATCACAATCATGATCTTGTTTATGATCCGGTATTCCATCATTATTCATATCATCATCTACACTATCCGGTACCCCATCTTTGTCAATATCTTGAAACAGATCATCCGATCCATCACCATCTGAATCAAAATCCATGCTATCTGGTATACCATCATTATCATCATCCATGTCTAGTGTATCAGGAATACCATCCTATAGAAATTTTAGAAAAAGCTGAATTACGAAAGGAAATGGTTGTTGTTTAGTCTTTTTTTCTTTTCATTACTAATATGTTTGAAGGCATTCTCATCATCAACGAATTGTTATAAACTAGGAAGAAATAAATAGCCTTCTTATCCGGCTTCGGAATCCACTGTCAATGTACAAGACCATTTAGTGGTAAAAAAAATTCCCAAAATAAATGGTTTTGTAAGCCTTTGAAATCGATATTGGCCTCATTAGTTTTACTAGACCTGTTCTAGGCTGAATGCACTCTGTTATATAACTACGCTAAACTATGTTTGGATACAAAATGTTGAGCATCTCTTATGATAACTAATCAGTCTAGATTGCACATATTTCAATCCACTGACATGGATTCAAATATATCATCACATCCCTTCACCTTTAAATTCTGGTTTGATTCATTGGGGGATACTTTTATAAGAGATTTTTGTACGATAATGTTGTCAAGCCCTATATACTTATAATCTCTTCAAAAGTCCACTTATATTAGATTCAACTCATCACTTTCAAGTCTTGTAATTAACATGTTACTATATTAGATGAGTGAATAAAAATTTCATTTGCTCATATTTTTAACTCTAATTAGTGATATGATATAAATTGATCTACATTCATATTATATACGAGGCTCCTGTTTAGCCTACAAGTTGGTTAACCCCATCGGTCATGGCTTCGCACTAGAATTATGCGAAATTCATTTTGATGCTAGTTACCAGTGATCATATGATCATTATTTATTGAAGTAAGTGAAATATTTTTCTCAATTAGAATGTCAATTTTCATCATTAGTTTATTTATTAAGAGAGAAATAAGAGTGTAACGTTAACGCATAATGTTTCTATGTAAGAATAACACATTATATTCTTTGGTTAAATATAAGAATTGAATTCATTATCTGATGTTATACAGAATTTCACGTTAGTTATATATGAAATAATATAGAATAGTTATCCTTGTATTTAATATTCATTAATTGTTATGTCATACATTACCTAATCAATTAATCTAATATGCATAAGACGAAATAATCGATTAAAGACGATATAATTACCACTGGTATCTGACACTTGGTTATGCAATTTTTAAAAAGAAACTAGTTAGATTGCATTGAGTTCATCAACGATTCACTCTCGTTTTCTGTTATTACTTGCCATCGGTACAACTTGTAATTAATCATTCAACTTGTACAAAATGAATTTACCAAGAGTAGTCTAATAGTGTGATATATGGTACTCGTATGAAACAGATATAAGTAGTATGTATCGGGAATTCAAAGTGGAATTATACAGACAGAAGAGGAAAATGAAAAGAAGAGAAAGGAAAGAAGGAAGTAATCAGATTGACAACAGGAATGAAAGAACGACGAAATTTTCAAGGGGTAACTCAAGAAAGATCGGTAAATAGTATATTTGATGTGTTGTTTTCATATTTTATAAATACAGTGTGATTTTACATAATATAATAAATTTTGATTGAAATCATGAATCGATCAGTGTTAGATCACCACTGAAAACCAGGAAGCACAGGACGGCCGTACTAGAGTTACTGCCGGTCCCAAGCTCGGGTAAAGGAGGAGGGATAGGCATGGGGTTAGCTACCCCATCCTGTAGAAAACTAACTCGCTGAAAAATGCTCACCAGAAAAAATAATTCAAAGCATTTAAACTCTGCCCTGGGAGTTAGAAGGTCTTCATTTAGAAGAACTATGACGTCTCATGGTATGAGCCGAGTTCCTTCGGAAGCCACGAGGCCGATGCACCTTCTAACAACCAGAGCAACAATTTTTATAGGTATATGGAACGTCCGAACAATATGGGAGACCGGGAAGACCAGTCAAATAGCAACGTAAATGAGGAGATACAATTTAGCAGTACTGAGAATCAGCGAAACCCATTGGACCCAAGCTGGACAACAAAGGCTAAATACGGGAGAGATGCTGCTTTACTCCGGTCACGAAGAGGACAATGCTCCACACACTCAGGGAATTGCTCTAATGCTGTCCAAAGTAGCATGAAGTGCACTTGTAAGATGGGAATCTCACGGATCCAGAATCATCAAAGCATCATTCGAAACAAAGAAGGTAGGGATCACAATGAATATTATCCAATGTTATGCACCCACCAATGATAGCAACGACGAAATTAAAGATCAATTCTATAAGAGGCTTCAATAAATCATAGAAAAGTGCCCAAGAAAGGACCTCATCATTCTGATGGGAGATCTAAATGCCAAAGTCGGAATAGACAACACCGGATATGAAGATATCGAGGGACGACATGGACTGGGTGAGAGAAACGAAAATGGAGAAAGATTTGCAAATTTGTGTGCATTCAACAAATTGGTCATAGGAGGCACAATATTTCCACACAAGCGTATACACAAGGCTACATGGATCTCACCGGACCACAGTACGGAGAACCAGATAGATCATATTTGTTTCAATAAAAAATTCCGAAGGACAATGGAGGATGTGAGAACCAGGAGAGGAGCTGATATAGCTTCAGATCATCACCTAGTTGTGGCCAATTTAAAACTGAAGCTAAAGAGAAACTGGACAACTGGACAAACAGCACTACAAAGGTTCAATATAGCCTTCCTTAGAGATACTAACAAAATCAACGAATTCAAGATAGCTCTCAACAACAGGTTCCAAACCTTACAAAATCTACTGAAAGAAGAAACTACTATGGAGGACAACTGGAAGAGTATCAAAGAAGCATTAACTTCAACATTTCAAGGGTTTCTGGGCCTAAAGAAGCATCATCATAAGGAATGGATCTCTATAGAAACACTGGACAGGATCAAAGAAAGGAAGAACAAGAAGAAAGAAGTCAACAACAGTCGAACACAAGCAGAGAAAATCCAAGCAGAAGTATATTGAAGCAAACAAGCAAGTGATGAAGAGCATTAGAGCCGACAAGTAGAAATACATGCAATAACTAGCAACGACGGCGGAAAAGGCTGCAAGGGAAGGAAATATGAAACAACTTTACGATACAACGAAGAAACCAGCAGGGAAATACAGTAAAACAGAGAGACCGGCCAAGGACAAAGAAATCCAAGAACAGCGGAACAGATGGGTAGAATACTTCGAGGAACTCCTGAATAGGCCGGCTCCAATGAATCCACCGGACATCGAAGCAGCGCGCACAGATCTTCCTATAGATGTCAGTCCACTGACGACGGAAGAAATAGGAATGGCCATCAGACAGATCAAGAGCGGGAAAGCAGCAGGACCCGACAACATACCAGCTGAAGCACTGAAGACAGACATCGAATTAACTACAAACATGCTTCACCTTCTATTCAAAAAGATTTGGGAGGAGGAACAAGTGCCGATGGACTGGAAAGAAGGACACCTCGTCAAGATTCCAAAGAAAGGAGACCTGAGTAAATGTGAAAACTACAGAGGCATTACAATATTGTCAGTACCTGTGAAAGTCTTTAACAGTGTTGCTGAACCGGATGAAAAACGCAGCAGACGTCCAACTTCAAGATCAACAAGCTGGATTTAGTAAGGACCGATCGTGCACAGACCGAATCGCAACACTACGGATCATCGTCGAACAATCAGTTAAATGGAACTCGTCACTGTACATCGACTTCGTTGATTATGAAAAGGCATTTGACAGTGTAGATAGGAGAACGTTATGGAAACTTCTTCGACACTACGGAGTTCCTGAGAAGATTTTCAACCTTATCCAGAACTCATACGACGGACTACAGTGCAAGGTCGTGCATGGTGGACAGCTGACAGATGCATTCCAAGTAAGGACCGGAGTCAAACAAGGCTGTCTACTCTCTCCCTTCCTCTTTCTTCTGGTGGTCGACTGGATTATGAGGACCTCGACATCTGAGGGAAAACGCGGAATACAATGGACAGCTCAGAACCAATTGGATGATTTGGACTTCGCAGATGACCTATCCCTCCTGTCGCATACACACGAACAAATGCAGACAAAGACAGCCAGTGTAGCAGCAGTCTCTGCATCAGTAGGCCTCAGCATATATGAGGAAAAAAGCAAGATCCCCAAATACAACACGGAGAACACCAATCCAATCACAATTGATGGCGAAACTCTAGAAGGTGTGGAATCTTTCACATACCTAGGAAGCAACATCGATGAACAAGGAGGTTCAGATGCAGAAGTAAAGGCAAGGATGGGCAAAGCAAGGGCCGCATTCTTACAATTGAAGAACATATGGAACTCAAAACAACTGACAACCAATATCAAAGTCACAATCTTCAATACGAACGTCAAGGCATTCAGTTCTACTGTACGGAGCTGAAACTTCGATAACTACTACAACCATCATCAAGAAGGTGTAAGTATTTATAAATAGTTATCTACGCAAGATACTCAACATCTATTGGCCGAATACCATCAGCAACAGCCTTCTGTGGGAGAGAACAAACCAGCTTCTAGCTGAAGAGGAAATTAGGAAAAGACGATGGAAATGGACAGGACATACATTACGCAAACCATCAAACTGTTTCACGAAGCAAGTCCTAACTTGGAATCCTGAAGGGAATCGGAAAAGAGGAAGGACAACGAACACATTACATCGGAAAATAGAGGCAGATATGAAAAGGATGAATAAGAACTGGAAAGAGCTGGAAAGGATTGTCTAGGACAGGGTTGAATGGAGAATGCTGGTGAGCAACCTATGCCCCTTCACGAGGAGTAACAGGCGTAAGTAAGTACGGGACTCCTCATCAGTGTGCATGCACGATCCCGCATGCGGGAATCGAACCTAGGTTCTTCAGTCTCGCACACGATCGCCCAACCTGTAAACCACTGGGCCGGCACCTAATGGTTTTAGTGTATAACCTCAGCTGATCCACGATAATGAGCGACCACCTTTGATTGTCTTCGGCGAGTAACTATCTCAGACCCGACACAGATTAGCTCCACTGGTCACAGCTTTTCATTAGAACTCTGAGAATCACATGTCGAAGCTGGTCACTAGTGAGCACATGATAATTATCAGTAAAAGTTTCTGGATATTGTTGAGTTTTGATTGAGATCATGAACCAACCAATGTTAGACCACCGTTGAAAACCTGGAAGCTATGGACAGCCGTGAACGCTCACTGCTGAGGAGTCCCATACTGGGACGAAATGGCCGTTGAACATATCCACGTATTCAATGCTGGTCTAACATTGATCGATTCTTATCTTAATCAAAACTCAGCAATCTTCAAAATCCTATACTAATAAATTCTCACTGTGATGTTTAAAAATAGTTTACAGCATGAATAGACAACAAGTAAACCATTGAAAACTAAAAGTTATTTACAAGAACTTGCTAAAGTGTTCTAAATAGACAGCAACACGTAACTTGTATTATACCGCTAGCCACATTCTATTTATTCTGTATAAAGTTCTTCAGTCATTAAAATCATACCAATTTTGATGCATAACTGTATGACATTGTATGTAACCAGTAATATAGACAATGTATTCTTCATCCTATTACTAACATGCTGCTTCTAAGAAATCTAGTGAATTTTAAATAACTTTCTGAAGCTCCATTTTTAGCTACGAAAAGAAACTTAAATTGTTAGTAATTTTATTGATTGTTTGCTACTGCATTGTATATTTTAAAGAGAAACTTCACTTTTAACAATAAAACCGTCCGGTTTAACGAATTTAACATTATCACTATAGTATTACTGTAAGTTTCATCAGTAGTATTTCCAATGTATCTGAACTTCCAGACTTGTGCATTTCATCTTACAAGTAGTGCCTCAACATTAAAGATGTCTTTCAAGATGGGGGATTACCGAACAAATTCATAACACTAACCTTTCTAGTAATATTTTTGTGATGTATAAATATTTTCTCATTGATAGATAGGTCTTTATATTATTACCTCTAGTCATATAGGTTTGGTAATAATCTATGAGGATCAGTATAGAACTTAATTTTATACTTCTGTCATATTGATACGTTAAAATTATTTAAGAAACATGGTGCGCTTTGAGATGACGATTATTATTGAAAACTAAAACAATCATCACATTTGAGAACATTGCTAATCAATGTAAGAAGAATAAAGAAAATAAACAAAGAGACTATATATGGAGTTTCAGAAAATATTTTATACGGAATATACTTTATTTTATTCACCAGTTGAAGGCTTATTGAATAGAATTATGTTATTATGGGTGTAAACAAGGTGAAAATAATTTTATTATTGTTTTCTTATGTTTCATTTCAACAAACTTAGTGGGGAGTATAAATTTTCATTGTTAAATTGTAATGTCATTGTAACATTGTACTGACCAATTGATACAGAACATGTAAGTCAACGTGGATTTTTTTCATTGGTCTACAATAATTTCAGTTAAGATGGGGACAATGGAAAACAATTATGTTTAGATAAATGAATGTTTTCAAAGTTTAATTGATGAGTCTATCTAAGCTAGACCACCATTAAAAACCTAGAAACCTTGGATGGCCCTTTTAGTCCTAGTATGGGACTCCTCAGTAGTGCTCATCTATTGAAATTCAGTCTGCGTCAGATATGAGAGAGTCATGCGCTTCAGGCAATAGATGAATAGTTGTGCAAGATCTATTGAAGTTAAACATTAACACCGTCGAATGCTGGCTCAGAGGTCTAGATGTGAAGAGTTCATGCCCGAAACCGAACGTCCTGTTTTCGAGTTATGCATGCGGGATCGTAGATGCGCACTGCCGAGGAGTTCCATACTAGGACGAAGTTTCCATCCAGAGCTTACAGATTTTCAGTAGTGGTCTAGCTTAGATCGACTTGTGAATTTAACTTTGAGAATACTACAATCTCCACAAATCCCCATACTTAAAATACAAAAAAGTGAAATTTTTAGGAAAATTACTTTAAAAAATTTATATTAATCTTAAATTAAAAGTTACAGAGTAAAGTTGAATGCTCTGGATAAACATATTTCAAAGTAAACTGATCAGTTACAGTGCTCAACAACACCATAGACCTTTGAATATTAACGAAACTATAATAAAAATCATGTACAATATTACCGTGGTGATCGAAAGAGCCAATGGATAATGCACAAGGCTTTTAATGTAGTGGGTAGTATTTTTCAGTGTCAGTGTGAATATCAGCCCTAGGAACCAGGTGCGTTCTTCAGCCAGGTCCGAAATAATGAAAAAACGCTTTCCAGATTCCACTATTAGCTACTATTCGACATTGTAATTAACTAGCGGGTATAGCCAAATTTAAAACATTCGCTCAAAGAGCCTACGTCTCATCAGAAGCTGATCTAGTTCAGTTTTGACTATCGATAATAGGTTAATACAAATACTTACAAACGAAAACTCAGTTGTTAAGTTTATTTTAACCGAAGTCAACAGATCCCATGTGCATGTTTTTATTCATCGGTGTGTAATCATGACCTGCTGTGAGTAGTTGTGTTATTTCTTATTTAGTGTACTGAATAAGATGATCTGGATAACTTTATCTGAACTAATAAGCTGCTACCGTCCAGTCAATCTGTATAAAACAATTTTGGTATCAAACAAAAAGTTATTCTTATTTAGCTAGTAAATTCTCATAAATGATGTAAATCTGGGATTAACTAAAAGCATACCGACAGTGAATCAGAAATTCATGTGATTCTAGCCGTATATCTCAGAAGGTTTTGGTTTCACATCGATATTTAATTATAACCGGTGAGATCATATTTCCTATGCTTTTTCTGATTGTCCGCCGACTGCATATGCACATATTTTATCAAATTATTTTGTTAACGCTCAGAATTTTTAAATATCAACTTGTACAAACTAAGCTCTCATATACCTTATCCACACTTTTTGTTGCGCTGAAACATATCTTAGTTATTGAAGCATCGCTCCCTAAAGTTACTTGATACAACGCGGCTTAGTTACCATCTGCTGCCCGTTAAGTAACGTACTATTTATCGAATGTTATATTATCAACTCAAATAGTAATATAGCTATTATTATTGTAAATAACTTACCTTATCCGAATCCCGTAAGTAATCGAAATTGGGATGATCTGGATCTTGTAAATCCGGTATACCATCATTATCATCATCTGTGTCAATATGGTCAGGAATATGATCACCATCTGAATCCTGTTTAAAATGAAGGAATGTAAAAGTAAAAAAAAGAGGACGACATTGTAAATAATTTGTAAAATATTTAAACTTGTACTAATCACTCATTTTCAATGAGTTAACATGGTTATAATCCAGCTAGACAACAATGTCAGCACATGTTTACCAATAAAGAAAATTTAGTACTAATTTAATTAAAAACCTGACAAGTCATTTAAGTGGATAAGATAAAAATGTACCTGTCATAAAGTAATAAAAAAATCGTGACATGAGACAAGTTAAAAAAATTGATAAATACACGTTGTAGTAAGTAGTAGTAAGTAGTAGTAGTAAGTAGTAGTAGTAGTAGTAGTAGTAGTAGTAGTAGTAGTAGTAGTAGAAGTAGTAGTAGTAGTAGTAGTAGTAGTAGTAGTAGTAGTAGTAGTAGTAGTAGTAGTAGTAGTAGTAGTAGTAGTAGTAGTAGTAGTAGTAGTAGTAGTAGTAGTAGTAGTAGTAGTAGTAGTAGTAGTAGTAGTAGTAGTAGTAGTAGTAGTAGTAGTAGTAGTAGTAGTAGTAGTAGTAGTAGTAGTAGTAGTAGTAGTAGTAGTAGTAGTAGTAGTAGTAGTAGTAGTAGTAGTAGTAGTAGTAGTAGTAGTAGTAGTAGTAGTAGTAGTAGTAGTAGTAGTAGTAGTAGTAGTAGTAGTAGTAGTAGTAGTAGTAGTAGTAGTAGTAGTAGTAGTAGTAGTAGTAGTAGTAGTAGTAGTAGTAGTAGTAGTAGTAGTAGTAGTAGTAGTAGTAGTAGTAGTAGTAGTAGTAGTAGTAGTAGTAGTAGTAGTAGTAGTAGTAGTAGTAGTAGTAGTAGTAGTAGTAGTAGTAGTAGTAGTAGTAGTAGTAGTAGTAGTAGTAGTAGTAGTAGTAGTAGTAGTAGTAGTAGTAGTAGTAGTAGTAGTAGTAGTAGTAGTAGTAGTAGTAGTAGTAGTAGTAGTAGTAGTAGTAGTAGTAGTAGTAGTAGTAGTAGTAGTAGTAGTAGTAGTAGTAGTAGTAGTAGTAGTAGTAGTAGTAGTAGTAGTAGTAGTAGTAGTAGTAGTAGTAGTAGTAGTAGTAGTAGTAGTAGTAGTAGTAGTAGTAGTAGTAGTAGTAGTAGTAGTAGTAGTAGTAGTAGTAGTAGTAGTAGTAGTAGTAGTAGTAGTAGTAGTAGTAGTAGTAGTAGTAGTAGTAGTAGTAGTAGTAGTAGTAGTAGTAGTAGTAGTAGTAGTAGTAGTAGTAGTAGTAGTAGTAGTAGTAGTAGTAGTAGTATAGTAGTAGTAGTAGTAGTAGTAGTAGTAGTAGTAGTAGTAGTAGTAGTAGTAGTAGTAGTAGTAGTAGTAGTAGTAGTAGTAGTAGTAGTAGTAGTAGTAGTAGTAGTAGTAGTAGTAGTAGTAGTAGTAGTAGTAGTAGTAGTAGTAGTAGTAGTAGTAGTAGTAGTAGTAGTAGTAGTAGTAGTAGTAGTAGTAGTAGTAGTAGTAGTAGTAGTAGTAGTAGTAGTAGTAGTAGTAGTAGTAGTAGTAGTAGTAGTAGTAGTAGTAGTAGTAGTAGTAGTAGTAGTAGTAGTAGTAGTAGTAGTAGTAGTAGTAGTAGTAGTAGTAGTAGTAGTAGTAGTAGTAGTAGTAGTAGTAGTAGTAGTAGTAGTAGTAGTAGTAGTAGTAGTAGTAGTAGTAGTAGTAGTAGTAGTAGTAGTAGTAGTAGTAGTAGTAGTAGTAGTAGTAGTAGTAGTAGTAGTAGTAGTAGTAGTAGTAGTAGTAGTAGTAGTAGTAGTAGTAGTAGTAGTAGTAGTAGTAGTAGTAGTAGTAGTAGTAGTAGTAGTAGTAGTAGTAGTAGTAGTAGTAGTAGTAGTAGTAGTAGTAGTAGTAGTAGTAGTAGTAGTAGTAGTAGTAGTAGTAGTAGTAGTAGTAGTAGTAGTAGTAGTAGTAGTAGTAGTAGTAGTAGTAGTAGTAGTAGTAGTAGTAGTAGTAGTAGTAGTAGTAGTAGTAGTAGTAGTAGTAGTAGTAGTAGTAGTAGTAGTAGTAGTAGTAGTAGTAGTAGTAGTAGTAGTAGTAGTAGTAGTAGTAGTAGTAGTAGTAGTAGTAGTAGTAGTAGTAGTAGTAGTAGTAGTAGTAGTAGTAGTAGTAGTAGTAGTAGTAGTAGTAGTAGTAGTAGTAGTAGTAGTAGTAGTAGTAGTAGTAGTAGTAGTAGTAGTAGTAGTAGTAGTAGTAGTAGTAGTAGTAGTAGTAGTAGTAGTAGTAGTAGTAGTAGTAGTAGTAGTAGTAGTAGTAGTAGTAGTAGTAGTAGTAGTAGTAGTAGTAGTAGTAGTAGTAGTAGTAGTAGTAGTAGTAGTAGTAGTAGTAGTAGTAGTAGTAGTAGTAGTAGTAGTAGTAGTAGTAGTAGTAGTAGTAGTAGTAGTAGTAGTAGTAGTAGTAGTAGTAGTAGTAGTAGTAGTAGTAGTAGTAGTAGTAGTAGTAGTAGTAGTAGTAGTAGTAGTAGTAGTAGTAGTAGTAGTAGTAGTAGTAGTAGTAGTAGTAGTAGTAGTAGTAGTAGTAGTAGTAGTAGTAGTAGTAGTAGTAGTAGTAGTAGTAGTAGTAGTAGTAGTAGTAGTAGTAGTAGTAGTAGTAGTAGTAGTAGTAGTAGTAGTAGTAGTAGTAGTAGTAGTAGTAGTAGTAGTAGTAGTAGTAGTAGTAGTAGTAGTAGTAGTAGTAGTAGTAGTAGTAGTAGTAGTAGTAGTAGTAGTAGTAGTAGTAGTAGTAGTAGTAGTAGTAGTAGTAGTAGTAGTAGTAGTAGTAGTAGTAGTAGTAGTAGTAGTAGTAGTAGTAGTAGTAGTAGTAGTAGTAGTAGTAGTAGTAGTAGTAGTAGTAGTAGTAGTAGTAGTAGTAGTAGTAGTAGTAGTAGTAGTAGTAGTAGTAGTAGTAGTAGTAGTAGTAGTAGTAGTAGTAGTAGTAGTAGTAGTAGTAGTAGTAGTAGTAGTAGTAGTAGTAGTAGTAGTAGTAGTAGTAGTAGTAGTAGTAGAAGTAGTAGTAAGTAGTAGTAGTAGTAGTAGTAGTAGTAGTAGTAGTAGTAGTAGTAGTAGTAGAAGAAGAAGAAGAAGAAGAAGAAGAAGAAGAAGAAGAAGAAGAAAGAAAAACACAGAAAGAATGTAAATCGACGAATAAAAACAATTTGAAACTAACAAACTGATTAGTTTCTCATTAATGAATATTTTCACCATATGGTTAATTTGTTATGGTCACTACAAAGTGATCAATTGTTGGGGATGCTAGATACCCAGAACTCACTTAGTAAATACTTTGTTTTTGTAATTTTATTTTGCAAATTTGAATTTCTTGTTTTCGCGCCAAAAGCGCTCATTTTTCACCTTCGTATCGTATTTCCTACTTGGGAGGATCTTAAACGCTATTGGTTCGTTGTATCTTTTAGTATGCTATTCCCAAGGATAATTTCATGCTGCATATATACATTTGATTTGTGTCTGTTGTTACTGTTTGTACTTCTGACTGTTTGCGGAATATATTTCTTCATTTCGAACTTGGACTTCTCTCTCTAGTCAGCGGGGCTGGGACGCGTCAGAATAGCTATTTTATTGGTTTTTGGTCACATAGTCATTGTTCCGTTCTCAGATTAGGTGAACTCGTAATCGCTTTAAACATAACATCAATAAATTTAACAAATTGATCTTGCAAGAAGTTAGTTTGAGGACTGAATGATAATTTCTCTGAATGTGAACCTAGGCAATCTAGGTTTGAATCCGTCAGGAAGCTTGAGTTCTTTAAAGATTACAGATACACTTTATAAAATCTAAACATAGGGCTTTTGTTGACTACCTTCAACTATCAAAAATCATTAGATTTAGTTCAATTCGATAAGTCATTGTGCTTAATATACCTTTGATAGTTAACATCTCTTCGGAAAACTAGTTATAGGATGACTTAACTGACTTCAAAACAAATAGGTAAGAAAGGAAATAATAAATATATATCTATATAACATTTTGATATCAATACGTACACTGAATTACAGCATACTGGATGTTAAGGATAATTGATTCCGAACACTTATCTACTATTTCGCTAATTATTATTAACGAGTTTAAACTTGTGTTTTCGTCTTCCGAAATTTACCACACAAAATAGTTTTCATTTATACCACAGTTAGATAGGTTTTTCCATATCTAATTTCCGAACATTTTAATGTTCTAAGTTTCTAAAGATATCGTAAATGTTTAGAGGTTTGTTGGTAATTGAATGTTATTCCTATCACAAACTGATCTATGTAAGACATCCAATTGTCTATAAATTGAGCGTTCGCACGCAAGACTGAATATCCCGATATCCGGATGAGTAATGTTGAGGAGTCTTGCACTAAGATGAATTAAGTATTCAGTTCCTCCTGAAAGTCAATAGGTATCTGACTTGGACCGGTTCACGGTATCGATAACATTGTAAACGTATTTGTTCCCAATTGGTTTTAGCTTAATTAGTTTCTTGTGTTGTTTAAAGTGAACATTATAAACTAGCTATGAGCTAATGGAGATGATAGGAATTTGCATACAACTTCTGTTAAAAGAGGCTACCATTATGATTATTTCACTTGTATCAAGTAACTATACCGTTGACAGCAAAATTAAATGAGCTCCAAATATTAACCGAAATTCCAGTATAAAGATTATTGGTCAATGGTACTGATAGGAATCTATATATATAACCAAATAAATGAATAGATTTATAACTTTCCACTTCACATCATCAGTTCGAACATAGGAGTACAGTGCGATTTAATAAACAAAAGTATATAGTTTTATGTACCTGACTTGAGTTATATATTTGTGTACAAGGACTAGGGGTTTTGTTTCGTTGCCTAAGAGGGAAATTAACCAGGTTTAGAAAACCGCTAGTTAATAACCAATGCCTTGAACAACTAATTCACTATTTTACACAATATTTAATAATCTTAAAGTAGTATTTCTTACTTTCCATTATATTAAACTTTAGTTAAAAATTGTAAAAACACTCAATTTCTACAATGAAGAGATCCTAGTTAAGAAGTAAATATTTACTGAATGAAATCATGAGTCAATTGAAGCTGGACCACCATGGAAAACTTGGAAGCACTGGACGGCCGTTTCGTCCTAGTATGGGACTCCTCAGCAGTGCGCATCCACGACGTCGCCCCTTGCGAGATTCGAACCCAGGGCATACTGGTCTCGCGTGCGAGCACTTAACCAATAGACCACTGAGCCGGCATTCAACGGTGTTAATATCTAACTTCAACCAATCCACGAAGTTGCGCCACCGTACACCACTGTCTTCAGTGAGTTGATATCTCACAACCGACCTGGTTGAACTCCACTGGTAACGGCTTCTCACTAGAACTCCAGGAGTATCTCGTGAAGTCAGTCACTGGTGAGCAGATGATTATTATCAGAAGGGGTTTGTGGTTCCAGGTTTTCCATGGTGGTCTAACTTCAATTGACTCATGATTTCAATCTGTGAAATTTCTAAAATCTCCCCAAACCCCTTCTGATAATTTACTGAATGACTAATTATATTTTCATTAACCTTTTACATTTAATTGTGAAAAACGTTGATCAAAAAGGGGTTCTGTAGAGATTGCAATAGTTTAGTAGTTGAATTCATGAGTCAATTAACCACCTGCCACCATATTGACGCAATTTCGTGGATTGATTGAAGTTAGACATTAACACCGTCAAATATCGGCTTGATGATCTAGAGGTTAGGCGCTCGCGTGCGAGACCGGGGTTTCTGGGTTCGAACCCCGTGGGCGGAATCATGGATAGACACTGTTGAGTAGTCTCATATTGGGATGAAACAATCTTCCAATGCTTCTAGAGTCTCCATGGTAGTCTAGCTTTAAGTGACTCATGAATTCAACTATTGAAAAACGTTTAATAAACAATTCCAGTTGAAGTGTCATAACACTACAAACTTAATTTATTTTCTGTTTACATATTATTCTACTTTCAATATAAAATAAGTCTAATTACTGATTGTTTGTTTGTTTGTTTTATTCTTAAATTGACAATACAGCTCATTTTCAACTTTTGAAATTGTAAGACACATTCAATAGAAGATTGATTGACCAAACAAAGTGTAATGAATCAACATGTCAGCTGTAGGTCTATTTGTATAGAAATAAATATGTGTCTATAGTTTGTAGATGACTCATTTTTTTAGCAGATATATAGATTAAGACATTTATATGATGGTAGAGAAGATTTGTAGCTCAGGTGTGGTATGATTTTGATGGAGTTTTGTTCTCTGAAATAGATGGTTTAGTCGTGGAGCTTTCATTGTTATTCTGAACAACATCATCAGCACAAACTTCAAGTAGAACTGAAGTGTTCCAATTTCCCCACATATGGCTCACAGCTTGTCCTGTTGGTATTGATCTCTACATTAGTTATTGTTGACCTTTAACCTATCACTGATTACTTTTTTATTTTGATTGTATCTCATTATTGATTTGATTTTTGGTCCTATATTTGTCCAGAATTTTTTTTCTGATTGGTTGATAAATTGGGTCGATTTCAATGTGTTCGTTGATTGCTAATTGCCAAGCTTCTAAAAATTTTCTGGCGTTTTTAGCATTGCCTTTATCCAAGATCTCAACATTTTCCCAGTCGACTATGTGTCCACAATTGTCCACATGCATTGATATAAGCGAAGATATGTGTCATAGTGTTTGACAGCTAATTGATGTTCCTGTAGGCGAAAATCGAGTCGTTCACTTTGTCCGATGTAGTGTTTTTCTGCTGTTGAAACAATTGATTTTATAGATGATGTTCGGTTTTCCTTCTTTTGTCATTACATCTCTTCGTTTGCATAGAATTGATTGAAATGATTTTGATGGTTTGTGTACTACATCTATTCCAAAATTTATGTACAAGTCAATAATATTTCAGTTAAATTAGCCACTGTGATGTTTTAATGGAACTATCGATATTGGAGTGTGATGTGTGGAATAATAAAGTAATTACTTGGCTTTCAGCTACAGAGTTCGAAACCCGCTCTACATCGTTTAGAGCAAAGAGGTTATTCCATTAGTTGTAACACAGTTTATGGTTTAAAATTGAAGAACGACAGTATTATCTAGCTTACTGCGGTTACAAAATATCATCTAAGTTATTGTGGTTCAGTACGTTGATCACACGTTTTTCATTCAAAGGCTGACAGTGAAATCAAAGATATACATTATTGAGGTAGTTCATCTGATTGGAGAATAGTAATTTCAGTGAGACATAAATTACAGACGACCGTTGAGTAAAAATAAAGTGATCTTGATAAACTTCAACCATTTACTAGGTTTATAACAAAGATCTGAATTAGTGCAAGAAATTAATTTTAAAAGTTAGAATTAGAATTCTTATCACAAATTGACATAGGCTCAAATGCCAGAACGCTATTTAGTTAAGTGAATGTGAATGAATTTTGCTGATCTATATTAAATCTGACTAACTAGTCCGATGGTAAGAATTTACTAAAGAATCTGAGTAAAAAGGTAAATAGAAACTTTACCATAGTATTCTATCGAAAAGTTTAAATTATAATTATCTTCATAACAGTAATATCTACAACAGGTTGGCTGCATTTTTTACAATGATATTAATTAGTGTATTAGGTCGAATGAACATAATATCAATTTCATTTGTATTTTTATCTGGGTAATTTTGACAAGACGGATAATGAAATGTGTATAATTAAATTTGACAGCCTAAAGATATGTAGCAACTTTCTAGAATAAGTATTCGGTGTGTTATGACTTTTGCATTAATAATTATCATATGGAAAAATCGCCATTCCTAATACCGACTTATATGACATTGTTCTTGTGCTAACCCAATGATGCGTTAACCAGCACGAACAGCCTAGAGTAGTCAACTCTGAATCGTTTTTGGTCCTTCTCGCCTAGCTCTGCCCGTTGAGTCCAAAAAACAGTCTCAGCCTCCACTGTGTGAATCATGTATTTCAGACATACATGGTCTATATACAACCTCATCACACCATAAAATAGAAAATAATAATTATACAAGATCAAGCCAAAGGCGGCTGTCGGTATAAGAGACTGTAACTAATCGATTGGGAATAAGTTAATAATGGTAAATCGTATAATAGTAGCCAGTAGGTAAAAAGTTAGCTTATGATAACATGAATAAGAATATATGTAATAACAGTCCATAAATAATTCCTAGCGGTTACTATCCATTTATTCTTCGTTAGGATATAATATGGCGATAACAGGTATATCCATACCCGAAGGTTTTAAAATTATTAAACTTATCGTTTTATTAATCATCTGTTCGCTTGAATACATCTAAAACATTTAAAATAACTCCAAGTATGGGAATCCTCAGTATTGCTCATCCGTGATCCCGCTCGCGGAACCCGGATCTAGAACCTTCGGTTTCGCGCGCGAATGCTTAACCTCTAGACCACTGAGCTGATTTTCCATAGTGGTCTAACTTTACCGACTCATGATCTCAACTACTGAAATTTCTACAATTTCCACAAAACCCCTTCTGATATAATTTATTAGTTTAAAAATTTGTATACAATTGGAAAAACTATCATGAAACAAAACCTTTTACAGTAAATGATTTCAGTTTGATTTTAGAAAAATTACGGAAGGAATAATTGGTTGTTTATTAAACGTCTCTCTCTTTGTATACCAAAACATGAAGTAATAAGGAACGTTATGTAAGGGCTAAGGTTCACTTCTAAAAGCAGACATTTTCAGATACAGTAATGAACACTTATAAATAACATAGAATTGTTTACATATTCATTCTTACCTTAACAATACAATCAGGTATACCGTCTCCATTAGCATCAGGATCTTCACTGTCTGGTATTCCATCATTATCATCGTCATCATCGAATTCATTCAGGATACCATCACGATCACTATCCTTAAAATAAAAGTATATTACACATAAGGTCATATACAACACAGATGAATCATCATATATTTTATGCTTAAACACTGATTCATTCATTTATGAAAAATCATATTAACCAGTTTTCAACAAGTTTTGACTATTGCAATTGAATCCATTAAACACATAGTTGAATTAATTAATTGTGAATAACTGAAATATCTTATTTTATGCCAGTTACCTAGTAATAACTATCACGCTATTTGCTTTTCTATCTGAGGATTCAGCATGTATTACAACGTCCTTTTCATAGAAGGCATCGATAGATGACTTTAGATGATTAAGGTGAAATCCTCCATGAAGATTAGGTCCTTATATGCAGTAGTGATCAACTAAATGGGCGGGAAAATGCTAGATATTGCAATATTATTCACAAGGCATTTAACCAATTTTGAATTTTTCGGTAATAAAAGTATTTTCTAGCACTTCACCATATCTGTGATACTTAGCCTTTAAAAATGCAGGAGAATACTAGATTGCTATCGTTTAATCATAGATACCATCAGACTATAGCAATGCTGAGGTTAGATGAAGGGTAACAGATAAAAATGGGAATCAGACTGATGATGTCGGTACATGTATTTTGTGTGCCCGACCACAGCCCACCACGATAGAAATTGATGGCTAGTGTAGAAGCAGGTTGAATGAAAGATAGAAGCAGCCAAACCAAAATATGGCATCAGGCACTGGCATCATCGTCAGTTGGACTGATTCGTGTAGATAGTTTCAAATCATCTGATTAGGTCCACCAAATTACAGTAACCGGTGGTTGAAGATTTTCGGTAACATAATTCAGAATCATTCACAACTGCGCACGCGCATATGCGCTTTATAACCTCTTAGATTTTTTTTAACTATCCCAGAACTTTTATTATTCCGAGAAGCCATATTATCTTTCCAAATAACATCTTCTATGCCTAATCTTTTCTACTACAACTAACACCGTTACTATTAATATTTATATCGATACATAAATTCACCATGTTCTACGTTGCTTATGACTAACTAAATGTTATTCAATTTATCGATATAAATGGCGAAAACAAAGTAATCAATAAAAGCAGAACACACTATTCACATTCGTATGCTGAATGACATTCTTGTTGTCACTACTGATGGTATTACATGACATAATTTCTAAGGACAATATTGGTTTATGTCATTAACATGAGGGAAAACAGAATTGATGTACGAAACAATTCTTTATAAAGATCAATGTCCGGCACATTTACAATAACTATATGATTTGTTCAGGATTAAAACCAAATAAGGAAATATTAGAAAGGTTAGAAAAAGGAGGGAAATTATAAGAGAATTATGTCAGCTGTATACAGTTTGGACATCATTTTAGTTTGTAAATCATAGTGTGTGTATAGGAGAGAGAACAATGTTTGAAGTAAGAGGTTTTTGTTTTTGATTTTGTTTGTTGTTATTGATTTTTGATGAACGAAAAAATGTATTTCTAACTAGATTTTTCATATTTATATGTTTGAATAGACACAAGAATATAGTCTGGTTTTAATCAGCCTGTATCGTCTATATTGCTTTCGAGATATTTATTTTTCTGTCAGAGAACAAGTATACCGTGAAACTCACTTTTTAAATGTGGGTTGTTAGTATTCACTCATGATGATGGAACCACTCAGTGAGTACCATCAAAGTTAGGGGTAGGTAGAAATCATATGTCGGTTGGTGAGACTGTGAAATCTCAATGACTGAAATCACTGTGACATGCGTTGCACATGTTCCAGTGACCTTACATCCTAATATACTTTGTTGGGCAGCAAGTGTGTCGAAATAAACCTGGAAGAGCTCTTAAGGAGGCATGTTATCAGTTCACAAAACGAGTGAGTATTGGTCTAGGGTGTATTCGGATACTCCATGCCTTAAGCGGATGACTCAAAATAAACTAGTTGTTAGTAAAGGTTCTATACAAAATGAGTTCAAAATCTGTCAACATATCTTGGATAAAATGTTTGTGTTTTACTATTTATATATTATACATTCTGATACTGTGAACAGCTTCTCTTTTCATATCAAATTTATATTCATCTTATATTTCTTTGTTAATTTGCAAGACTCAATCAACTCGATTCAGTTTCAACTTGAGTTTTGGACGTAGGAAATTCTATGTAATCTTACTAGGCTTCACACAATGTTGATTTTATTCTGTTTTGAACCATGTACACTAATCACCTCTGATTCTTACATAGGGTACTTCAGTTGCTGACAAATATGCTAAAAATTACATTCTATATATTTCACTACTCTTAATAAGATTGGTAATTTGAAGAGGTGTAGTTTCAATAAAATTTCTTGGTTATTTCATTTACTTGAAGAATGCATGAGACCAAGAAAATTAGAGTTGACAATATTCTATAGTTTACAAAATAAATCATGTCATATGAACAGCAGTCTTGTTGACAGTTAAGAGTTGATGAAATTTCTGGAAAATTCATAATGGTTTTTCGTCTAACTTCTGTACGAAAACACTGTAACTTTTTTCAAGATATAAATCTTGTTGGGGCGGCCTTCGAGAAGCAAGACGAGCTTTAGGGGTCCTAAAGGTGCCGAAGAGTTTCTACCCAATCAGGAACTGATGGAACTTTCTAGGATATCAACGTAGGATAGGATGATGGCATAACTTGCCTCTTTGCGGTTTGGCTGATGTTGATTTAACCAACGCTAATAACTATAAATACATATATTTTCCGTACATTTTTGATTATTACCCAACAATCACTTCTGCTTTCTTCCGTCTTTTGATTTACTATTGTAGGGTTCTATACGTTCGAGTGCCGTTAGTTGTATATCGTATTCTGTATTAATCAAGTGGGGTACGAAACAAATCTGTATCATTTTACCAATCTAATCAGAGATTTCATGATAAACACACATTTTTGCATAGTGGTAAAGTACTAGTCTTTGAAGTATGAAGTATGAACTATTACAAGGATTTAATCAGACTTCTCTTATATATATCAAATGATCAATTTTCATTTCAAATGTATTTTTTGTTTGTTTGTCCTAACAGATTAAAGACAGGAAAAGTAATGGACAGATGAACTTTACCGATTTAAACAATTTCACTTTAGCAGAATTGAACATAATCACATTGAACGAAAACTTAACTGTTTTCAAATCGACACACATAATACCATGTATTCTATTCCATGATAATAAATGTATTCTAGTTATCAGAAATATAGGTTTGTGTGTGTATGTGTGTATGAGTGTCGTGTGTGATAATTTGTCTCTGTTTCAACAGGAAGAGCGTGTACATACAATAATGTATTCATATTATGCCCAAATGATTATACTAAAAAATTTATAGTTGCTAATCAGGAAAAAATAGGAAAGGATTGTGTATATTAATAGATAAATAGCGAATTATTTATCCATTTAGTTCTCTCTGTTCCTAGTTAACTAACTAATCAACTATGTGATGATAGATTAACTAATTCACATAAAATAAAAATTAAGTTTTCTGTTCTTCAGGAAGAAAAAACAGTTTAAACAAAAAAGATCTACATCTTGATAGTATGATTGTAATAGGAGCAACCATAAGATTAATGATAATAGATTCGAATAGATTTAGTTCCTCTTATTTTGTACTTTCATTGTTTAAATTATTTAGTTAATTGGCTAAGATATTCATTGTAATGTTTCTGTTAAAGATATATATTGGTATCACATTGATAACTATTAGTAAGTGTCACATGAAAAAGATGGTCGTTTCCGTCCTTCCATTATTTCGATATTTATTTATTTGAATAAGTGGATGTAATGGTATGAAAAATTACACATGAAACATACATATATTATATTTGTCAGTATTCATTGATATGTTTTAGGTGAGCTTTGTGTATCATACAATAGTCACAGTTGACCACCATTGAAAACCTGGAAATACAAGACACTTATTTCGTCCTAGTATAGGATTCCTTAGCTGCTGGTGGTCTAACTAAGATCACTTTATGACTTCATTCTATATATTCACTACATTATTCTGTGTGTTCACATCACTTACTAACTAACTGGATTTCTATAAATATACCTAATTTTATGTGGAATGTTGATTTTTTAAAATATTACAATTTTTAACCAGTAGTTTATGAGAATCCAGTACGATAAAAGTGTAGTGAACGAGAACACAAGTGGGGACAATCGAATGTATGTGGACACAATTATAGAATCTCTTAGTAAAGTCTGAAAGCCATACAGTTAATAATTCATTTGAAAAATGTCAATCAATTGTATCTGACTTGATTGTTCCTTCGTTTCCACACCAGTCACTTTCTGTTCTCGTTCTCTTCACTTTTCTTAACCTTCTGCCGCCATGCATTTCACTTTCGATTGGTGCTACATACGACTTATATCTATTGACATCAGTAGCACACGCCACAAAGCGAACTATCATGTTCTCTTGCTTAAGGTATTTTTTTAATGTTCCTTTTAAATTATTGGCGGTTTCTATTAGCCTTATACACCTTCATTTTAAGTGATCAACATAATCTGAACGCATAGTGAAGATCATGATCAGTAAATTTCTGTTTTACTTATATGATTTCTAGGTTCGAAAGGAAATTTCCTAAATTTAAGCATACATTTTTTCTGATATGATAGGTAGAGATTAGCTAAGCAACCAGAAAATAGTGTTAAACAATTATAAACGATGTAGTCATAGAAAAAAGTGATAAGAAATTATCTGTATTAATTCTTATAGTTGGGTTATTCTGTTGTGTTTGGTCTAACTGCTTGATGATTTTCATTACAGATCGGCCTCATTTGAAATACCATTGCAAGTCAATTAATATTGAACAGACCTTTAATCTGAAAATGTAAAACACTTTAGTTGTGTTTATTTAAGATCTTGACAGGGATCTAACAATTAAGCCATTTCTTCAGAGAATAAATAATCAATGTTTATTCTCTGAAGTAGTAGCTGACATTGAGTTACGAAACATCCGAAAATCTTATTTTTCTATTCATTGGTATGTTAAAAATATAATAATTTATTTATAATGACCCTAAGTTATATATAAAGAATGAATACTAATTTCATTTAGTAATTCTAAGTGAATATGAAATGTTACTTTTTTTCAAGATGATCAGTATACTGTTAGATCTGATGATAAACAATTTTATGAATACTTTCTTAGATTTACGTCATAGAGTTGAAATATTTTCAAACATGGACAAAAGAACTATCTACTACACTTAAAGTTTTAATGTTTCTATGTCATTCTAATGAATATGTTTGAGTTGACATGAATTTTTAATTACTGAGCTTATTACCAAAACCTGATTGTCGAGAAAATATACTTAGTAGGTTCATCAGCAGGATCGTAGTGTTGTGACTTTTGATATCTGTTTTTTGAGGACTACAAGCCAATAAATCTATCTCTGTGATAAAACACCGCTCAACAGCTGTATTTACATAAATTCAGAAGGTCTACAATACGTATAGACTAATATACAATTTTGCTCCGTTATAACAGAAGCATACAAAAAGGCATGTAAACCATGAGTCTCATTAAAACTTACTTGTTTTGAATCGAAATACCCATCGTTATCATCATCTGGATCGAGATTATCTGGAATACCATCACAGTCATGATCAAACCAGCCACGTTTATTCATTCGTCTGTTTAATTCTTTAGTACTGACACCTTTTAAAACTGAAAATAATGTTTGAAGTCGTAAAAATTAAAAGAAGGACATTATATTTGAGAGGTAATTTACAATATATGTAATGACACTAAATGACGAATTCATATTTGAAACGCAAAAACAGAGTTTAAATTATGACTTCTCACTAGAATTCAGATTTAAGGCATGTCAGAATCGCAGCAATTGTCACTAATGGCACTGATTAATCGTTAGGGCATATCGCAAATTAATTAAAGTTATAATTATGCCATCAGATTCTGACTCAGTAGTTCTAATGGTTAAGCGTTCCCCCTGAGGTTTTGAGTTCAGTCTCTGATAGTGTCTTCGGTGCCCACTTCTCGGAAGTCCTTTATTAGAGTGAAGGAGCTATCCACTACTGAGATAAATCTGTGACGAATACTAGACGTGAATTCAAAATTTTTTATTTTAATGTTCCAATATGTTTGGAAGATAACAAGCAAATCAAAAGTAATGAACGATAACAACTCTGTTAAATATACACTTAACAAGAAAGCTTTCAATTAAATGCTGGGAAGTACAAGATAATGTGATATTTGATTGTAATATCTACTGCCAAATAAAAAACAAGTCAGAATCGATTACATTTTTTGTCATTCAACGTCTCTTGTTGTGGACTGGGTAGCAAAAACTACAATTTCTCTGAGAGATGTGAAGAAATAATCTACAGTATAGTTGTTAAATAAGTGGTAGTTAGATTCTTTTCATAGTATATACATAAAAGGTTGAATCTATTTAGAAAACTATTTAAGACACAAAAAAGCTCCTTAGTGAAGATATTTTGAAGTTATATGGTTGATTTTCTTTATCATATTTAGAACAAAAGAACTAATGGGGAATTCATAAATATTTATAACCTATGTAAAAATAATGTATACTGTGATGTTTACCAGATTTTGCATTATAAATTACACATTCAAATCAACTGTTATTTGGTTGGCTAGAAGTAGTGAAAATCTTCTCAAGGTCATTTTATCGGCCGCCAAAGTTCATCGTAATAGTTAAACTTAACCATCCAATTATTGATGTCATGAGTCAATTGAAATTAGACCACCATGGAAAACTTGAAAGGACTGGACGGCCGTTTCGGCCCATTGTGATACCCCTCAGCGTTGCGCAGCCATGAACGCGCCCCGCGGGACTCGAACCCAGGACCTACCAGTCTCACGCGCGAGCACTTAACCACTAGATCACTGAGCTGGCAACAAAATTGAACGGCACATCCGCCATTGTTATCAGTAAGTCACTATCTCACAACCTTCTAATGTTTCATCTACCTGACAGTAGCTTATTCATTAACCAAATATAGTATCATTTTCATGGTTTGCTGCAGCACATTAATTGAAACAATTATTGATATTATTAGATTGTCCCAAATCATGAAGGTGAACAGTGGGTTATGTATGTTTAGCGTTTATCATCTTCTTTCTTCCAAATCACTAAAAGTTACATTGATCAACCAAAAAACTTTTTAGTACACTGATATCAGTTATCTATTATGTTGATTTCTAATACTATTTTTAAGTCAGCAATTATTAGATAACTGAGAGTACAGTTTTTTTTATTTTCTTTGCCAATATCAAAATTTCACCTTAGCGTTTGGTTCAGTATTACACATTTTTTACTAAAATGTATTTTTTTAAACATCAGATGCGTCTTGTGGATAGTATAGTAATTTCAATGGTTAAGATCATGAGTCATTTGAAGCTAGACCACCATGGAAAACCTGGAAGCCCTGGACGGCCGTTTCGTCCTACTGTGGGAATCCTCAGCAGTGCGCATCCACGACCTCGCCCCCTGCGAGATTCAAACCCAGGACCAATCAGTATTTTATTGGAGGAAATATTCTGTTTAAAACTGACTGTCGGTTTTTTTTTTTAAAATGTACGTATAACAATTGACAAGATAAAAATAAACCATAATCATGGTGTTTTAGCTGTCACTATTTTTCCCACTTTTTGATTTCAGCCAATCATGAGTAAATATTAATTCAAGGTCATTTAGTGAAATATGCTAAGTGCTTACATGTATTTGCAACTTCTATTCATCTATTATATCAATATTAAAAAGATGTAGGATATGTTCTACTTTCAGTACTAAACTAGGGTATGAATTGTATAACATATATATATGGGTACGTGTATTCAAGTGTAGTTGTGTGTTATTGCATCAACATTATACTACACCATAAGTGCAAAAGAATGATATTTATGCATATGAACTAAAGTTTATTTTCCTCTTATCCCATATGAAATATAACTTTATCGATCATCATTTATGTAAACCGTATATGAAAAAAGGGTAACCAAAAACTGTAAAACTAACAATAAGGTTAAAACCAAAAACCTAATTATCTACAAGACTAACCATTATAACTAGTTAAATTTTTTCAGTAACGTATGATAGTGACTAGAAGTAGGATTCAAGATATGCGTCCAATTTTATCTGGAACTTGTCAACTAGATGTACTTGTTCACCAGTGTTTATGTTTACAAAGTGACTGAAACCCAGAGTTGTATGCCTCGTACACCTAACGTGTAATTCGCATAGTTACTAAGAGCTACTGAATCGTGTAAGGGGGATGTTTAAAAATTGGCTGAATTTATTTTAATAAATCTTATTGTAAATCCATATATTAATGATATGTTTATACGTTTTGGGAAATTATCAGAAAGCTACCTATTAGTATATAGTTTCTTTTTCATACATATCTTCTTATCTTCACAAATATACCATAAATTTACAGTTATTAGAAACCTTGAAATCCAATCATAGTTGATAAGAATTACATTGTAATTGCGGTTTCTATGGACTGTTCATTAGACATTAGGAGGATTATGGAGACCGTTGAATATTACTGAGGTCAAGAACGGATCCAAGTTAGACAATGATTAGAAGTCACTAGATGTCTGTTCCGTCCTATTATACGACTCCTTAGTAGTAAGCAATCAAGACACTGTCACCAGGTATCCAGTTCACGATCTTTAGTCTTGCACACATATGCTTAACCTCTAGACCTCTGGGCAAGGATCCAATACTGTACAAGTCCTACGTCAACCAATTTGTGATTTTGAGTGGACATCTCCCACTTTCTTTGTTAGGTACCTGCCGAACACTCAACATGGTGTCAGATGGATGCCCACTGCACATTAAGATAAATCAGCTCTCCAGTATTTTCGAATTTTTAAGGATTATCCAGCTTAGATAGGTTCGTGATCCCAACGAGATTCATTAGATAATGTATCATTTGAGAGATCCAATTTTCCAGTGTTTTTTAGTTAGTATTTAGTCTGATAGGCAATTTCAAAAATGTACATGCTCCTCTACTAGCATTACATAATGATCAAATCTCGGCTGAATAATTACAGTACACTTGTATGGACTGGCAGGATGTCAAGCCCACATAGGTTATTCTAACTTCTGGACGAACCAACTGATCTATTCTACTTAAGCTACATTTTGACCTTGTCACATTCTCTTATCAACCCTGACTTTTTATATAATCGTATGTGTGTTGATTTCTTACCTAACTCAAATGTTTGTAACTTATTTTTATCTGACTATAAATATCAGTTGACTCTTGGTTAAATCGAATTGTCTCACTCTCCTTCACGGCACGCCACTTCGTTTTGCTTCACTTTCAGGCCAACGATTGTACGAAATATACGTATTCAAAAATCCATTCTCGTATTTAACTCAATTCGGTTATTCACTAACGCGATTTATGTCGATGATTATATACGAGGATTGGCGACATGTATATTTTGATAATAAGCAGCAAACGACCTAACTGAAATCAGATTGCTGGCAACTAAAAACACTAATCCGATGTCTAGTTTTATTAGTTAGATACTTTTAAATTGTTCACCTCTTATTCTTTCAAATTTTGTTTGTATATGAACCTCTAAATAGTGTTTAAAAGTCGATCAGGTTTAACAGATATAAACTACCCAAGTTAATTTATCCGTATTGAAAAAGGTGAATAAAATTAATTCTAGAATGATAATGATATTTGAAATTCTAACCGTAATTACTATTGCAAAACGGAATTATATGTAAATTAGCATTACGTTTTTGTAGTATACATATGTAATCAAAAGGCTGATATAAAAACAACTGTGATTAGTTTGCTGTTACAATAACGATAAGTTTTGAGCATAAGATTATAAATGTTGAAAAATTAGTCATTCGATTAAATGTTATCGAGACATGAACACCTCTCCGAAGAAGGGGCTTACACTGAGTTACGAAACTTCAGGAAATTTGAAAGCTTAATTTTTTCTAACATTGGGATATTAGAAATATCTTCTTTTTCTTTATTTATAAGCACAATATGTCTAGGTGAAAAACTTTTTTCATTTGAATTATCTCTGACTGGAACCCCATTCGAACTTAAATCTAAACTGGTTATATCGTGATGACTATAGTTCATAATTGTTAAAAAAGGAAATCATTGCACAAATTATTGGCTTTCATAACCATCATTTATAAACGATAAGGGCTGATTACGCCATTTTTAGAGTTATTAATATTATTGGACAATAGGTTTAAGGAGTGTAAAAGACAAAGGTGTTAAAAAATAAATCATTAATAAAGGGATAGATGTGAATGATAAACGTAAAACAAATTTACTTTAATGTTATTCTTTAATGTTAGACTTATTCCTTCCAGAAGCTGAACTCTACAAAGACCCAGAATATTATAATGATATATTAATTTCATGGTGTAGACCACTGTTTCGGTATTTAACTTCGTTATTTCTAATAAAATTTATCCTTATTACTATGTACCTAAATAATTCTCGCCATTTGAATAACAATGAGTAATTTTTACATTAACCTCTTAATTTTATCACTCGAAATGTTGAAGATTAAGAATATGGTACCGTATTAAATGTGACAAAATGAATCACCTGACTAATTGGAGCCTACTAAATTGACAGTAACGAGCTTAGTATAGCATTATATAATTCACAATGCCGTAGTATATTCATTTAAGTGTACACTACACTCCCTGATCTTAATACTAGTCGACTAAGTAGACCTTTGTTCAATTTAAAAACAACAATGATTTGTATTGGGAAGTCATTTCAAGTTAATTTATTAAAATTCAAATTGTTTAAAGATGACAAAAAGTTTATTTATTCGTATAGTGAACTGAATTAATCCATTAATTTCCTCGTCTACAGTTTAATACAACTTGATAAACTTGGTCATGAATCCTCCATATCAGTTAATGAATTAGTCCCATGAGAATGTATTCAATATCTATGGTTGAATTTACTTTCTCAGCTATGCTTTTATGACCAAAAGCACTTGACTTTCAATCAGTGGGTTAAATATTTTAATCCTTGCTCCGTCAAATTGGTTGGGCATTACTAACCTTCGCCAGATTAAAATGTGAGTCAAAGCTGTGTAGCCTTAGTTAACAGATTTGCATAAAATCGACTAATTTCGAATCCCGTATTTAAAAATTATTGTGAACATTAATGTTGTCTAAGTTAGAATTTTCACAGATTGAAACCATGAGTCAGTTGAAGCTAGACCACCATTGAAAACCTGGAAGCACTGGATGGCCGTTTCGTCCTATTATGGGACTCCTCAGCAGTGCGCATCCACGACCCCGCACTACGCCGGGCTCAAACCCAGGACCTACTGCGGGGTCGTGGATGCGCACTGCTGAGGAGTCCCATAATAGGACGAAACGGTCGTCCAGTGCTTCCAGGTTTTCAATGGTGGTCTAGCTTCAACTGACTCATGATTTCAATCTGTGAAATTTCTAAAATCTCCACAAAACCCATTCTGATAAGTTAGAATTGTTTTATAGCAAGTTTAATGAATATGATAAAGGTTGTATCAGTGATTCGTTTAATTCAAGATTATGTAACGGTGGAATAAGATTTTATTAGAATACTAGCTCATTGTTTATTAAAATTCCACATATTAATGTTTTAAATAATCAACACTCTTCACTTACAATCAGCACGAGTAAGTCCTAAAAAATCAGGAATTTGATCTTTGTCTTCATCTTCCATAATATCTGGAATACCATCGTTATCATCATCTCCGTCAACATCATCTGGAACACCGTCGAAATCGCTGTCAACTTTACGCATTTTCTTCTTATATCTTACTTTTAGTTTTAAATCAGAAACATCAGAACGGCAGTCTGGTATTCCATCACCATTAGAATCTTCATCTTCAATATCAGGGATACCTTTAGTGAAGGAAGTAAACAGTAAAATGTTTTAAATCCAAGAGATTTTTAGAATGATAAGAAAATGTTAAGTTAACCTTTAAAAGTTGAATGTTTTGATTACGCATTCATCAATTTCTCAACCGTATATTTATAAAAAGTCAGAATTAGAAAGACAAAAACTGCTTAATAATTTAATAAAAAACGGAAAACACTTTCATACCATCATTATCATCGTCTTCATCAACATGATTCAATAATCCATCCCAATCGGAATCTTGTGTTCGGTCCAAAAGACCGTCATTATCAATATCTTCATCAATATCATCTGGTATACCATCACAGTCATGATCGTTTATATTTCCAATAATTCGTACTGGTTTCGATTTTTGTGTAGATTGTTTAGGGTTTTTATTTGTTGGAACTGGTGTTTTTAATTTATCTTGTGACGGAACAGTTTTATGCACTGCCTTCTTTGAGTGATGATCTTCTGCATGCTTTGATGATGCTAATGTGGAAGATTTTAACTTGTCTGGTTGATTTTGTTGATGATGACTAGAAGAAGGTTTGTCCTTGGGTTGTTTTGTTTTAGAACTTTCAGATAATTTGGATGATGGTGTTTTAGAAATGGTCTTTACATGTGTTTCTGTTTTTGATGGAACTTTCTTATTCTTTGTATGTCCAGTAGCCGTTTCCGAGTGAGACTTGGATTTAGATGAAGTAGTAGGAGTTGTTGTTTTAACTGCCATTAATTTCCTTACACCTGGATTCAAATTACACAGAAAATTAGCATAAAAACTATCATGGTTTATTAAAAAGTTTAACCTTTTGTTTAACTGTAATAAACAGTTTAATTATACCAATGATATAATAACCAAATCATTTGAATATATATCAGAGAAATATGATATTTAGGAAATATAGTTAAATAAACGCATACAAATGAATAAAATGTAAGGATAGTATGTCGTTTAATTTAACCATTGTAGTGGGATATTGACAAGTTTTCGAATCCTGGACAAGGATTTTGTTTTGTTTGTGATATCTAGATGTGCATGCCTCTCAATACTAATATTCACAAGTGGACGAGTCTCAAAAATGAAGAAACGCCCGTCATTGATTTCGCTGTTAGCTTCTACTTACCCTTACTAAAATATTTGGGAAAATATCTGGGAATATCGAGATAATCGACTTTGGATGCATATGTGTCAAAAGTGACTAGCCAATTTCAATCGTTAATATCGACGAGAGAATATAAACACCCATAAATTCGATACTTTTTTTAATGATCATGAATACCGGGAAATGTAATTAGTACATGAAGAAAGACATGTTTTCACACAACGTAATGGAGAATTTTGTTGGTTGGAGAAGGGATCAAGATCAATAGATAGAATACTTTGACGTTAAGCACTACATTTAGCTTCGGATACATTATTTGAAGGCAATTGGTAAGTAGTATTCTGGTAAACATTATTCCTTTACAGCAAATACATAATTATAAGGCCCAAAATTTGAATAAGGATCATCTCAATACAATTTTAAAGTTTCCAATTAAAATTTATTCTAAGTGTTCAATACAAAATTATCTATTATTAAATAGATTTCTTTATCATATTGCTATTTTATGGAGTTGAAATATATGTCAAGCGGAGGGTTCTTTAAATTATTAAAATTAATGGCATTATATTATCTGTTAAACATTAAATGGAATAACAACTGGAAAGAGCTGGAAAGGATTGCCCAGGACAGGGTTGGATGGAGAATGCTGGCGAGCGACCTATGCTCCTTCACGAGGAGTAACAAGCGTAAGTAATTACGTAAGTAAACATAAAATGATCAGTACCTATGATATATTCCTATGATAAGAATGTATTTGGTTAGATTACCTAATTAGTTATATACCTATACATATATGCAAATATAAATACATTCTTGGTTTGCACTCACCAGACTAAAAATTACATATCCATCTAAATATCAATGTAATACAGTATTAAATAATCAAACTATGCCATGGAAAATGTCATATTCAGTTAAACATTGTCAATACTAAGGTAGAAATAAAGAACTGTTTAGAGATTTCTATGCGAAAGAATTCTAAACAGGCAAGAAAAATTTTTTATGAAAACTTGTTTCTATCAATCAGAATCTCACTATATACTTTTAGCTAATTTGATGAAATCTTGTTTTGAAAAAAATGAACAATGTTTTAAAGTATCTGTAATAAATAAGGTAATCTAATTGTTATAATTCACCAGCATGCATCCCATTACATGTTGAATTCACAATCCTTTGTTTGTAAAACACTGATAATTGGAAAGTTTTATGTACAATTGGGTACATGTTTAATTGGTTGCTTGAGTACTTGTTAGTAAGTGAGCGTTTAGAATGAGAAGATTAGAGATAATCAACGTGCACATATATGTTAGATGAATTTGGAAGGAAACTAGGATATATCTACTACAACTATCATCAGTATTATTATCATTCCATATTCCACATTTTGACTAAGCTTACCAGGCCAATTAGGATTTAATTCTTCATCAGCCTCTATCCAATCACTGTAATCAGGATCATCAACATCTTCATAACCTTCTTCAGGTGATATTTCCAAATCTAAATCTTCTGGTTGATCATCTTCACTTTCTTCTTCAATATCATTATCTGGATCAAAATCATCAGTCTCATCATATTCATCATCTTCAAATTGATCAACTGTTGTTTTTATATTTTTATGCTGGTCGATTTTAAAATCTTTTCCTTTAGATGTATCATCATTTGATTGACTGTTTACATCATGATTATCATTTTCATTATCGTCACCAACTTCATTAGTATCATCATCATTATCATTATCATCATTGCTGTCATCGTAATCATAGTCTTCAACATCGTCATTACTCAGCTTCTTATTCGTATTCTCATTTATTGATGGTTGACCCTCTTGAATAGATTTTTTGCAGCCTGGTTTTAGTACTTTAGTGGTGTCATTATCATCGCTGTAATTATCTGCAAACTTTTCATCCTCATCATCTTGATCATCATCAATATTATCTTCATAATCTTTATTTCCACCACCAGCATCATCATCATCATCATTGCTATCATCACTATCATCATCAATATCGTCTAGTTCATCAGTAGTTTGTACTTCTGTAATCTTTTCACTTTTTGGTTCATTATGTTTTACAAGATGATCTTTACTTATTTGCAGTTTTTTATTCAAAGCTTTAACATCAGCTTTTAATTTGTTTTTATGTATTTCAGGTATATTTTTTAGATTTGGGAGTTGTTTTTTATTTTCATTATGAACAAGTTTGTTTTCTGTCGTTGATTCCTTTAACTGATCTTCATCTTCTTCTCCTCTACTGTCATCATCTTCTAAATTAAGGGTATGTCTTAAATCTAATTTTTTCCCATGCCTAGAAGCGCATATTGACAAACACTCATTATACTCAGCATTGTTGTCGACATCACCATTATCATCATTATCTTTAGCCTCTTCTAATTTACGCATATGTCTAAATGTTGATTTAATCTTTGACTCAGAAATTTTCTCACCTAGATAATTCCCGAAATCGTCATCCTTATCTTCCCCATCATCATCATCGTCATCATTACCAGAATCATTGATCATTCCTGTTGTTTCAGATTCATTGTATTCATCTTCATCTTGGTCATCATTTTCATTGTTATCAATTTGATCCACTTTAGGATTTCTGTCAGTTTGATGACTATGAACTCGTGAACTACACCCTAAAAGTCGACGGCATGTTGGACAATCTGATGTTGTCTGTGGAGCAAAAAAATAAAAAGATTTATTTCAAGAATTGTTCAAAAAACAATTATTTGAATCAAAATATGGTTTACTGAGTTATTGAAACTTGAAGTATCACCTATTATTAACTGAAATACTATTAAGAATCAAGGATTAATTATTTTGTTTTCATTCGGGAATTTAAAGAACTGCTCACTCTTCTCTCTCTCTCTCTTTGATGTCAAATGCAAGAGTACTCATTTTTTAATGCTCGACATTTTGTTGACCTGGTATGAAGTTGAAATTTCATGAACAGTATCTACTCAATCTGCAACACACAACCTACAGATTAAATCTATCCCCACAAAAACCTTTCAATGAAAAAATTATAGTTAGCTCACCAGTGACTTGTTTCAAGATGACAAACCACACATGAACAATCGAATTGAAAATGAACCAAGAGTACTGTCATAAATGAGGAGATATCATCATATCACTTAGATAAGTCAGCGGTTATTTAGATTTATTAACTCAGGGGAGAACGCACTAGTCTTTAGAATCAAAGTTAATGGGTTAGAGTACCAATGTGAAAATAATTACTATAGTTCAGAGAATTCAGTTAACAAATCCCGAATAGGACAAAAGGCACATCTTGAATTTCACTGTTAGCTACAATCTATTTATATTATGAACTTAGTTTATTGTTGACAAATTTGTTCATCATTTTGGATGAATTTATTAAGCTAAATTTTTAAAGAAAATTAATTGTTCCCTTTAAAATCAATAAAATTTTAATGATAAGATTATCTTACAAATCAGTCAGCCAGTCAGTAACAACGTAGAACTTCGTACGTACGTACATCAGTTCGAGTTGCCACACCACATTAGCACAGAGATGCAGTTGTCGATTCAAATCCCGTAGTGGTAGAGGTAATAAGAGTATAAGCAGTAATCGGGAAGATTAGGGTTTGGAGATGTTATTTAAAGAGTATAATCCAGTGAAATAAATTTGGAAAGAGGAAAAAAGGGACATGAAGAATTCAGAAGATTAGAATTTGGGAGAACACAGATAGTGGATGCACCTGCGCCATTGCAAACGATTTTGAGCCATGTCATTCAGGGTCTCTAACCATCGGTTGCTATCATCTCGCGGTCCCCTATCTTACAAATATCTAAACGTTACATTAGATCTTTTAAGGGATTTAGATAAATCTAATCAATTAGATACTTTTAAACGAACGGAATTCTAACCTATATATTTCCAATACAACTATATAAGAAAACTGAACACAACTAGTGGTAATAACGATCTACACAAATTTAAATCATTTCTCAGGACTTAATAATCTTGAGTTTGTATAAATAAGCTTGGTCAAACCTAAACATATCCTTCAAGATGACCATCCAAAACTTTAAAAATCTAGTCAGTGATAATACTGCAGAAATAAATAATAAAATTTAAAATCCATTCGGAGAAGTAACCAGATATTCAAGTTTACAAATTTATTTATTTATTTAAACACATAGACATTGGTACAATGAGGCACCAAACAGATATACGAGACATAAATCATTCGGTTTATGTGAGGGCTGAGATACTGCCCGGGTGCCCAAACCAAAAACAGGTGGTCTTCTTTGGGAGGCCACACCCAGAGCCTTAGACCTAAAGGTCTAATCCACAAGGCAGTAAAGCAATGTCGGAAGATGCAGTCCCATGGTAGCCGGTGACCAACTATTGGTTCATACGCCATTTGTTGCTTCAGAATACTGGAGCCATGTGCACCATTGGTTTGTAATCAGGGTTTTCCAACTCCCCTAGGTAGATCCTCTATATCTACCAACAAGGTTAAAGTGCCGGACATTCAATTATCGTCCTCTCAATTTTGTAAACAACAGCGATGCCACAAGAAAGCAGTGAGTATGACTTCCCTGGTAGTGGTTATAGGCACGTGGCCATATGAGAGCGTTTTGAGAGGGATGAATAGCTCTACCCTTTCTCGGCCGTACCAGGGCAACAAGTTTTAAACATGGATGAAGCATTGTGTACTTACTACTTCAAAACAAAATATATCAAGTTTCATGAATAAGTTGTTAGTAGTCATAATTTCTATAAAACAAAAAAATACTTACGACGAAACTAGGAGTAATACTGTCTTCAAAAGATTCAGTAATATGATTGAATTCCGAAAATTGATTTGTTTCTGTTTTGTTCATTTTCCAATTATTTTCATTGTCAAAGAAATCAGTAAAACTATGTATCTAGTAAGAAAATCATTAATTAAATAAAAATTCACTATGACTATGATTTATTTTCCTGTTTTATAACAGAATATAACATAGTAAAACAAAATCTATAGTTAAAATTTGTTATCAGAAGAGGTTTTTGTGGATATCATAATAATTTTAATAGTTGAGATCATGAGGCACTTGATGTATACTACTGAGGAGTCCTACAATAGGACGAAACGGCTATCCAGTGCTTTCAAGTTTTTCATGATAGTCAAGTTTCAATTGACTCATAATCTCAACTATTACAATTTATTAGTTCAAATAAATTCACTAATATCTATGTAGATATTTCAAGCTACGTATTTTTGAAGCCAACATTATGGCTTTAAAGTGAATAAGTTATAAATAAATTTATACTCAGTAGTGAATGAAAACTTTTTTGGAAACTAAATAGTTCACCTAAACAGTTTTCTGTTTTAGGATATTGACGATAATAGCAAATCCGTTTCGTTACTATTTATATGAGATCGGACTATAAACACTAGAAAGTTAATTGACTCATATCGAAACAGATAGGATGTAAGATTGATCTAAAATGATCTAAGTAATCAACTTCTAATATTCTCTTTTTGTAATTTAATCTTAACATAAGTATGAATAAAATAACTTATATTTTAGGAATGTATATGCTGATATCGATTGAAGGAATTAGGATGGTCATCAGATGCGAGAAAGCATCAGGACCAGACAATGCATCAGTCAAAGCTTTGAAGCCAGACATATAAGTAACGGCAAGTATACTTCACGTTCTGTTAAGGAAAATTTGGGAGGAGAAACAAGTGCCGATGGACTGGAAAGAAGGACACCTTATCAAGATAACAAAGAGAGGAGATCTGAGCAAATGTGAAAACTACAGAGGCATCATACTACTGTCAGTACCTGGGAAAGTCTTTAACAGAGTGTTGCTGAACCAGATGAAAGACACAGTAGACGCCCAACTTCGAGATCAACAAGCCGGATTTCGTAAGGACCGATCGTGCACAGACCGAATCGCAACACTACGACCATCGTCGAACAATCAGTTGAATGGAACTCGCCACTATACATCAAGTTCATTGATTCTGAAAAGGCATTTGACAGTGTAGATAGGAGAACATTATGGGAACTTCTTTGACACTAGGGAGTATCTGAGATCGTCAATATCATCCGGAATTCATACAACGGACTATAGTGCAAAGTAGTGCATGGAGGACAGCTGAAAGATGCATTCCAAGTAAGGACCAGAGTCAGGCAAGGCTGTCTACTCTCTAACTTCCTGTTTCTTCTGGCGGCTGACTATTTTAAGAAGACCTCGACATCTGACTGGGAGCGCGGAACACAATAGACAGCTCGGAATCAATTAGAATATTTGTTCTTCGAAGATGACCCGGCTCATCTATCCCATACATGTGAGCAAATACATGTCATGATAAGCACAAGGGAAAAAGTAACATCTTCAAAAACAACTCAGAGAACACAAACTCAATCACACTTAGTGGAGAAACTGTAGAAGAGGTGGAAAGTTTCACTTATCTGGAAAGCATCGTCGATGAACGAGGAGGATATGATACAGATGTAAAGGCGAGGATTGGCAAAGTATGGGCAGTGTTCCTACAGTTGAAGAACATATGGAACTCAAAACAACTTTCAACCAATATCAAAGTCACAATCTTCAATACGAACGTCATGACCGTTCTACTGTATGGAGCTGAAACTTGGAAAACCACCACAATCATCATCAAAAAGGCAAAGGCATTTCTAAACAATTTTCTACTCAAGATACTCAATGTCCGGTGACTGGATAACATCAGCAACTACCTGCTGCAGGAGGGAACAAACCAGCTTCCAGCTACAGCGAAAATTAGGAAAAGACGTAAGTGGATGGGAAATACATTGAGGAAATCATCAAACTGCATCATCAGGCATGCACTAGCTTGGGATCCTGATGAGAACCGGGAAAGTGGAAGGCCAAAGAACACACTGCCTCCGGAATCGGAAGCAGACACTAAAGGGTTAATAGCAACTGGAAACCAATGGAAAGAATTGTCCAGGACAGAGTTGGATGGAGAATGTTGGTGAGCGGCCTATGCTCCTCTACGAGGGTCAACAGGTGTAGGTATTAAGTGGTATCATCCTTCTGGATCAGGTGCAGATTTTGTACAAATAAGGTCTATTTACTATAAATACTCTTGAGATTACTATTTTCACAGTACCACATATATTTAAGAGAAACATTCACTTGAAGAAATACAGTTTATTCTTAATTCATATTACATAGCAATTAATGAGGGTTTTTTTGACACAAAGCTTTCGTGATTGTCACTACTCTTTAGAACATTATATTTGCTGTTTAAGAGTAATTGGTGAATTGTCAAACACACGAAACATAATACCACAACCATAATAATATATTCTGTTATCATTTATATCAATGGGTTATAATGATACCTAGCTATCTAGCCTTCAAAAGTAAACTGCGAATTATAGCCTACAACCACCTAGTTTAAATTAAAATCAAACGCCAAATTCAATAAACCATGACTCATAAAGAGTATTCTATCTGATATCAATATTACTGTGACAACTGAAGATAATTTTCATGTTATATAGAAACCATATTGTGCACTTCAATATCTTTCTAATATTCTTTGGTATTAACACTCAAAGTAACTGATTAACTAAAACTATTCAGTTTGCATTGACTCAGATAGTTAACCTAAATAATTTCGAATAAATTAATAATGATGTAAACTTGAAACAACTGAACTAGTCATTTAATATTTCAATGATCTACCTCATGATTACTTCATAACAGTTCATCGTATATACGTTCAAAGTTCATTAACGACTACAGCATAAAAATTCAAACTACGACAAACTGCAATTAAATTCGATTTAGTAAGCAAAGAAGTTAACATTCTCATGCAAAAATATAATCATAATAAAAATAAAGAAACAAATAAATGCATACAATTCAAACGCATTCATTGACAAACACATTTTACTTACAAACTAAAGTCATTTCAGTGTATAATGGTTCATTCGTTTTGTTAATGTTTAACGTCATATTCAGTAGTACAAGTCGACTGTTTGTGTAGTGGGTATGTACATATGAAAAGGTTAACAGTTAAGAAGATGATTATCAGGATAGGGCTGTGTAGACAGTTAATTAATATTAAGATCAAGAATCTATCGAGATTAAACAACTATCAAAAACATGAAAGTATTGAATAGCTGCTTCTTTCTAATATGAAACTCATCAGTAGTAAGAATCCCTGATCCAACAGTTGGGAATTAAATCCACGACCATCGATCTTGTCAAGATGTCAAACAACAACTGCTTGATTCTATTTAAATTTCAAATATTTCATTAGATGATGTTAATGGATGAGATAAAAGGTGGCCTTTAGATTAGATAAATAAACGACCAAACATTTTCACTGTTTAACAATTTCTAATAGGATATTTCCATGAACTTGACATATTGTTTCTCAAAATTCCCATCTTACATTTAAAATACTAGTAAACTTACTTAACATAAAAAATTATCAGAATGGGTTTTGTGGAGATTTTTAGAAATTTCACTGGTTGAAATCATGAGTCAGCTGAAGCTGGACCACCATGGAAAACCTGGAAGCACTGGACGGCCGTTTCGTCCTAGTATGAGACTCCTCAGCAGTGCGTATCCACGACGTCGCCCCTTGCGAGATTCGAACCCAGGGCATACTGGTTTCGCGCGCGAGCACTTAACCGATAGACCACTGAGCCGGCATCCAACGGTGTTAATGTCTAACTTCAACCGATCCACGAAGTTGCGCCACCGTATACCATTGTCTTCAGTGAGTTGATATCTCACAACCGACCTGGTTGAACTCCACTGGTAACGACATCTCACTAGGATTATTATTGGATTTAACAATGCGAGTATCAAAATATCCAATTTTTAATATTATGTTAATATTATATTACATTGATGATATTATATTCAAACGATATCCTATCAAAATTCAAAACTACTTAATTTGAATATTGATGTATTCGTAATGACGAAAGTACAGTTGCATGAAACTATCATTAATGAATAAGCATTAAATTTCGGTAATGAAGTTCAAACTGATTTGATCGGCCATCATAACTAACTTATCTAAATCTAACTACTTTTCTATTTAATCTACGTTCGCTTAAGCACTGTGACAGTACTTTTCTAATTATAAGCATTTTAGGTCATAATCTCAAGTTATCTGTAACGTTTTCATGTTAACTAAGTATATTTAACCCAACACTTTCTGTTCCTTTTTGTTTATTCACTGGGTGATTATTACGTGTTCGAGTGTAATCTTTATTAAAGATTTTATTTCGAGTCCTAACTTTTACGAAACTTGTACGGCTCATTGAGGATTTTGGGCACCACAATACACTTGATATTTCTATGGCAGTCAGTTATGGATGAATGTAGCCTACTCAGTATATTAGAGATAATGGGATAAAACAATAATTTTTCTAATATCACATGCAAAGTCAACAGATCTTTCAGTTTGAAACTACCGTTACTCAAAGGTTGAAGTGACATTCGAAATTGTTTCACTGAAAAAATCCCTACTTTGTTTTTGACTCGGTCCCTACCCAGTCACGCCCACAAACACAGCACTTCATTAAATTGTATCAAAAACATCTTGAAAAGATTTGATGTCGGCACACACAGAAAACTAAAATTACTCTGCTATTTCATTCCTTTTAACCAAATGTTTAAACGGAACTGGATTTTAGTAAGTATAAATCATGACAACAAGAAGAAATTGTATTCATCATCCGATAATGCTAATTTACTATAACTAAGCCACTATACATTGTTAATAAATTGAACCTCACTAGACTGGTACGACATGACAGTAGCGTTATCATTTATGATTTTAGAAAATAATAAAAATAAAATTTAGAAATTTAAGTGACCAACTGATATTTGAAATAGTGAGTTAAAATAAATCGATTTACCTTTTTGGACAAAATATACTGAGGTAGATATCAACTGGTGGAGGTATTGGTTGGATTTTTATCATTTTAGCTATTACAGGAAAATATTTTATTGAAAAATAGTTATACATTAGTTGACGTTTTACTCATACCTCTTAACATTAGAAAAGGTTAGTATTTCTTTCGTTGTATCCAGACACGATATTAGTTAGTGTTAACTTGAAATCTTCAATAAATCTTCAAGGCTTCGAATTCTATAGTTTCTAAAATTTGATAGTTTGTTCAAAGCTGATAAATCAGTTATTTTGAATGTTTAAAAAATTCTGATATATTAGACTACCACTGAAAACTGGAAGCACTGGACGGCCATTTCGTTCTAGTATGAGACTACTCAGAAGTGCGCATCCACGAGCCCGGATGCGGAAAACAAATCCAGAACCTTCGGTCTCGTTCACGAACGCTTCATCTCTTGACCATTGAGCCGGCATCCAAAGTTGTTAATGTCCAACTTCAACTAATCCAAGAGATTTCGCGACCAGGTTCCGTCTTCACGGATTAGCTCCATTATTCAAAGCTTCTCACTAGAACTCTGAGATCAATAGTGGTATAACACTGATCGTTTCATGATTTCATTCAAAAGTCAACAATCTCTACAACCCTTCATTGATCCTGATATCTTTTGTACAATGAAAATGTGCTATGATCTTTATTGTAATAGTGACGGATAATTCATGTATGATTCATAGGTATTATTATATCAAAGGCTAAAAATCAGTTCATATAATTGTGCTCTTACTTAAACAACCCCAAGATCACTATATTTATCCGAAACACTGTACACACACAGAGAAAACACTACATATGAGATGGTTTTACTCCATACACTTTAAGTTTATGCTTCAAAAACATTTCTTTTTCTTCAATAGTTAGAGTTGTAGGGAATTTATAATTCACACTTAATCTATTTCTTAAATGTTTCATCTAACAACGTTATCCTACCATCCTATCATTTAAGAGATCAATCAGTTATAGTTATTGGTATGGAATAAATTAATGAGTGTAGTAAAAAAGAATTCCTATTGTCGGGAAAATTTGAAGTGAGATGATTTTGAAAATTTTTCAAGTTGTCTGTTCTTGCATAACACACTCTCAAAGGACTTTTATAACGATCATAGATCGGACGTCAGAAATTCCATTAGTTTCATCAACTAATATTTATTGATCACTATAAGTCTTCATACAACACAAGAGCCAATTAGATAACAAGAAATTAATTGTCGGCATGGAGTTGTGGAGGTAGATGGATTTCATCGGAATCCCGAACCGATATAATTTAGACAACTATTAAAAGCCATAGGGCACTGGATGGCCGTTTTGTCCCAATCCAAATACACGACTCCTTAACCGGGAATCCAACTTAGGGACTTGGGTATAACTCGAACACTTAACTTTTAGACCAATCAGCTGAGATCCACTACTGTACAAGTCTGGATTCAGTCAATCCACAATACTGAGCCACCATCTTCCTTTGTCTTTGGTAGGTATATTTCCCACGGAAGATAAGTAGCAAACCAGTAAGGAAGTAGATCTGGTGAGACTGTTGTTTCCGAACTAAAGCGGTTTTAAATTAGTGAAGACTGTGGAGATTAGTTAAGATACTCATGCTCTTGCCCAATGGAAATTAAAAACAAACCTGTTATCAGCCCTTAACAAAGACTATTTTTAAGTGAAATTCGTCTCCTCAAATCTCTCATTTAGGTAATAAATACCAAGTTTACACTTCTCACCAAGTATATGAGAGGCTAATTCTGTAGTAGAGTAAAAATAAGATGGAACGTCTTATATTTGTCTCAAGTAACCAGGATATTTTAGACAGAATACAGGTGTGCTAACCTAAAATAAAGTAGATTGTGTTGTACATAGTATGGTTAGGGATAAGATTAGGTTATCTATTTTCAGTCATGTCCAGTCGATTAAGCGATAATGGATATCATACGTAGCACATATAATAGATATTTTAAGTCGGCAATTAGCGAACCAATATGGAAATTATTTACAGAGGCTACCCAACTTATCCATATGTTAATACACTATGATACTCCGTGATTTTTAGATAAGTGACGTGATCCCTAAGGCAGTATAACTGATACTGACAGTATCAGTATGATTATACTGACAGTATCAGTATGATTAAAAGTTTTGCACATAGACATGTACTTAGTAAATGAATTCCTTCTCATTTCTAATTAACAAAACCCTCTTAAACTGGAGCTAATAATAACATGTGAATGAGTTATGAAATAATTATTACAAATTCCATAACAGTTGAAAATATACATAAAACAAATTATTTGGTGAGAAATGCTAAATAAACCTTACATTTTGTGGTTGGAAATAATATAAGCATGAAATGACATATTCGTTTTCACATATGTACAATTAAAAAGTTTCCGTCATGCAAAGATACTCAGATATAATTAATACGAGGTTTGGCATATTATTTAGACTTTCAGAATCCAACAAAATACAACCCGATTATATGCTAATCAACAATGTAAAGACGGACAACAAATCAAATGAGAAAATATGAAAAAAATTACCCAAATTTACAAGACGTCTGTATTTTACCGTCATTTTAGTCATAACCCAATCCTAAAATACTAAGATTAACTGACGATCTATGAAATCCTCAAAAATGGTCATAGATAAGTGGGTTTTCGTTAATAAAGATCGGCTTCCCTTCAGTCAGTAATAATTAGTGTACAACTTGTTACAAAACTGATTTGATATAAGCCACTATACCATGACAGAATTAATTCAACAAGATGAATACCAAAGAAACTCAAAATAATGTAGCAATGATGATGAGAAAGACTTAACACTGAGAATACGGTATGTCTCTTTTCCATCACTAATATAACAAAAGTATCCCATATTGCAAAACGTACAGAGCCATAATGCAAATGATTGAGTGAAACATAAGACAGTAATCTATGATCGACTTTCAGGCCAATAAGTAACAACAAATCGACTGCAGTTATTTCTCAGTGAAGATTAAATTATTCTTAGAATTCTACAAAAAACCCACTTTTTAATATACATCATTGTTAACTTCAAACAAATAAATAATGTACCCTTAAATAGGTCGAGGAAGCTTACTAGTACGAACCCCAGCGAAAACTAAGCTGGCTCGAAAAAGTTAGCCACACAAAGATGCAAGAGAATCTGGGTTACGTAATTCTAAGGTAACAATCACTTTTACTATGATAACTCACATTTCGCCTCCTACAACTTCATAATTAACTTCAACTAACTCTTTGGGTCCCGTATAGTTTAACGATACTAAACCATATCTTTTTGACCAACTTTAAAACTAACAGATAGTTAGTTCTAGTAAATGAACCAAGTGGTATCTTATCACTCACTCTTCTAACTAGTACTAGGGTTGCCACATGGGTATTAAGTGAACAGTACTCTGCATAAGCAATATATATCCAAAACACAGCTGTAAGGATCGCAGTGTAGTGTGAATAATAAGTAAATTTACTCAATCACCAGGTCCTCATGTGTGAGGGCTTATGTTATTGCCTCGTCGCTCGCACTAAATTAGGTGTGGAGGGAGTTAATCTAAGAATTGACATAGTGTCAAACGTTAAGAAAATGCTCCAGCCAATGATGCTAATCAATAGATTTCTGATAAGCTTGTTAGTTATGAAGTTGGTGATTATCTCTGACGGGAACTTATTGAAGTGAGCACTTAGCCATTGATTTTGATAGATATTCCCATACGATAATCATACAGTTACTAAAAGATAGTCCTACTATCCAAAATTTAGACTGAGACACTCATTTACCACAATTTTAATTCCACACTAATTAGACCAACGGAACGAACTTATTGGTTGAAAGTCAAGCGCCTTAACGAGTATGCCACCGCTCCACTGGCAGTAAGTGTATTCTAACCGAGAGATATGCAATGAGGGAACAATTAGACTGAAACTACCCCGACAGTATGTTTGGCTTCTACTTCACTTAACTCTACTTCAACGGTCAAATACTATCACTAGCCTCTAAGTAAGGAATGTAACTGAACTGAGTACATGAATCTGTACTTGGTTATTGAGCAGTATCATATATTAGTCGTGTTGTCAGTGGAACAAAAAACTGGTAATGCATACAAAAGTATATTTCTAAATTCAAAACGAGATGAACAACAAACGATTCCTACGTCTTCAAGAAAACATGCAAGTCACATGCGGATAAAGGCTGTTTGGAAATTTGAAGATGAGTCCAAAAACAATGAAAAGTGGGGACAGGATCGGCGAGATAATACAAATGCGTTCAAAGCTCATCCTTTGGTGAACTTGGTTGATTTTCCTATCCATGAAAAATGAAAAAACTAAGTTTAGCATTCCGAAAATCAACATGCAAAAATACCAAGCACCAGATAATGAACTTACATCAATTTGCGAAGGTGCTTCTGACTTTTCGTTCGTTGAATCTTCATTTGAAATCGACTCCTATGTATAAATTACACTTACATTATCAACTTACTTTATTCACTTCATCCGTTACAGACTCCTCATCAGTCTCAGGTTCTTCGTCCAGCAACTCGCTTTGATCAATATCTAAACTTTTCTTTACAACAGATTCAACTCGTTCTGCGAAAGCAACAGGGTTCTTAACAGAAAAACCTGAACGAAGGACCGCAACATCGAAGAGCAAGTTCGCAGTATGACTTATTGTAGGATCATCTTTATAGGTCTTTATAAGAACGTTTAACTTTTTCATTACTGGATGGCGTGGGTTAATTTCAAAGACCTTTTTCATAGTAGAGTAATAAGTAGATGATGGATCTCCACCCCTTTGATATGCTTGTGCAGTCATAATGCGCTCCATATTTCCGGACCAACCGAATTCATTAGCGACAAGAGCACATGGAGTATTCAATAATCTTTCTGACAAGGCAGTCTTATCAACATATTCTTTCAAATTTTCCTTAAACCATTCCAAGAGAGGTTTGAATTCTTTTTCTAGTTCTTCTTTACGAGTCTTTGCTTCTTCCGATTTGTCGATTTCGATCGTTCCCTTTGCCACATTTCGTAACTTTTTCTTATCATATTCAGTTAGCGACTGAAGCATGTACTCGTCAACAGGATCGATCATATAAATGACTTCATAGCCTTTCTTGATTAGCCTTTCTACAAATGGAGATGACTTCGCCTCAGTTATTGAAGATGCGGTAAGATAGTATATATCTTCCTGACCATTTTTCATGCGTGAAACATAATCTGCAAGACTTGATTGGTTTTCAGTGCTGTTTGAAGTCCAAAACCGTAGGAACTTGGATAACTTAGTGCGATTTGGAAGATCGTCAATTATACCAAGTTTTATGTTCACAGAGTATTCCTTCCAGAAATTTTTAAACTGAGATTCAGAAAGTTCGCTAATCATCTGGAGAACTTTCTTGACCAATCTTATCTTTATCAATTTAAGGAGTTTGTTTTGCTGCAGCATTTCACGAGAAACATTTAGAGGAAGTTCGTCACTATCCACTATACCAAAAACGAATGCCAAGTATTTAGGAAGCAGATCATCGGCTGCGTCAGAAATGTATACACGACGAACGTACAACTACAGAATATTTTAGTACATAGTATGAAATACTTACCTTGATCCTATCACTATGAGTACTGTGCATCTGGAATATGTTAGAGGGAAGATGTTTTGGTATATACAGTATTGAACTAAATAACACATTTCCCTCACCACTGAAATGAATCTTGGCGAGAGGATCGTCATTATCATTTGAATAGGCACGGAATAAATCATTGTACTCCGCATCAGTAACGTCGGCCGGTTTGCGTTTCCAAATAGGTTTATTTGCATTTACACGTACCCAGTCCCAGACGACTTTGTCTACGGTCTTGCTTTCACTTTTTTTTCCACTTTCTTCTTCAACCTAAAAGAAGTCGTAATTAAAGGAAACACTTACGCTAGCTTCAGAATCAGCTGTTTTTGACTCCTCCTTTTCTTCGGGTTCAGCAGCCTGCGATTCCACTCGACTCGACCACACATAAATGGGGAAATCGATGAACTGACTGTATTTTTTCACAACTTCTTTAAGAGTTTCGGATTGTAAGTAATCTTCTGCCTCCTCCGTTAAGTAAAGGACAATTTCAGTCCCACGTTTAAGGGTGTTTCCACGTGGGTCTTTGTAAACTACGAATGAAGTGGAATTGGACTCCCAGATATACTGGTCATCATTATCACTCTTGGATACAACCAAAACTTTGTTTGCAACTAAGATATGAACAAATTATTTATGTGTACAAACCTAAGAAAGAGGAGTAGAACCCAACACCAAACTGGCCAATAAGGTCAGACTTTTCTGTGGCCGTACTACTTTGAGAGATCTTAGTCAAGAACTCAGATGTTCCAGACTTAGCAATGGTTCCCAAGTTAGAGGTAAGTTCAGCTTCTGTCATGCCTATGCCTGTGTCTATTATATGAAGTGTCCGTGCATCTTTATTGGCCTTAAAGGGTTGTTAAATGTTTACTAAGAAAACCTACTTTTATTCGGATTCTCATTTCGTCAGACTCATCAGGAACTTCATTGTTAGTAAGCGAAAGAACGCGAATCTTATCCAGAGCGTCTGATGCATTTGATATTAATTCTCTAAGGAAGATCTACACAGTCAAAGAAAAAACCAACATTACCTCCTTATTTTTGTACAGAGAGTTAACTATTATTTTCATCATGCGATCAACCTCAGCTTCAAACTGTCGTTTTTCAGCATGTTCCCGTGCTTGCTTCAACTGTTCAACGCTTAGACCATCCAAGCTGATTGCCTCCCCTTCTCTAGCATGATATAAAAGTATTATTCGTGAAACTTACTTAGCTAAAGTGTCTGAGGCTGTTGAAAGTCCCTCATTAGGTTTTGATACAGGAATATCAGACAGTAACGATGACGGATCACACAATACACATGCCAATACAGCTATTTCCATCGAATAAAAAAGTGAAACCATAACTTACTAACTACCACTAGGCTATGTACCACGGACAGATCCCATGGTCTCCCCATTGTTAGAATATCCCGACACCCACAACGCGAAACAGGACTTAAAAATATGACTAACAAATGTGTCTAAAAGCTATTGGTCAATCTAGGTCTCTCTGCTTGCTTAAAACAAAGTAAGGTCAACAAACTTTCAAGATACAATTTGGTTCACTACACCTTTCAACCACTGAAACGGTTAAAAATATGTATTAATTGACATATTAAACTCGATTACTCCTACATATTTGCAATGTCTCGCCTTGTTCACTGATCATTCAGATAGTTATAAGCAGAGTTGAGCATGCAGAAAGACTCAGCTGAGTTATTCGTTGTAAGGATCCGACAGATGCATACCCTTAAAAAGAATGTTACAAGTACCTTATCTCCATTTTTGAGAACGACGCTCTAAAAGTACTTGATGCGACTTAGTCGAGCGTATATTTAGACTTCCATGAAATCGGTCTAAACTCGGGTATTTCATTTTATCCAAAATATCATAGTGAGCTCAGCAGATCCCTGGAACACAAAATCTGTCTTCTGAAGATCGACTGGCTAAAACGAACCATTTCCGCTGGTCAGACAAAATAAGCCGAGGCGACTAAATAGCTTCTTCAAATTAATAAGCAAAATCTTTGTATCTGACATGTGATTTTTATCACCTTCTGGAAAAAATATTTGTAGGCTCATTCTGACAACCCTTATCAGCCAAGAACCAAGTTGGGATAGGGGTGAATATTTATAGCTCAGAATGAGGATTTTGAGGATTTTTCGTTGTCTGGTTAGGATGGCTTAATCGTGATGCTTCCACAGTCTTTCTTGACGGAATCATCAGTAAGCATTCAATAAGAAGTGAGATATTTGAATTTCTCCGCAGATGACTAGCTGCTCGCTCTGTCAACTAATAGTTTTATTGGTTGTTGTCCATATGTGTATGGCCATTGTTTGTACGTTTCTTTGGTTGTTTTTACTACTGATCTGACCTCTCTTCGTCGAGTTGCTAGCCTTTTTTTCCTTATTGGCTTATAGATTGAGTCGACTTGGATGTATATCGTTTCTTCTGATGTTTTTGTGCTAACATATATTCTGTCTCGCTTTCAGTTTATCCAGGATTACAATTATGTTATTGTTTACAACCTCTGAACAGTAGTCAGAATTTATGTTGTTGACGTTACTGACCACTATCTTACTTATGTCTTACTCGAAGTCAAGCCGGAAATTAGCAGTAAAGAAGTATTAAGGTATTCTGCGTATTGAGAAATGGCTGCCTGGTTGTTGAGAGGGCAACACAGCACGACGTTGGTGATCTGATGAGTATGAGTAACAGAGGGCCTTCAGCTATAATGCGTCAGGTAAAGCTGATCATATCAGCACCAATTTCGAAGCCTTGCAAAACTATTTACTTTATGAGTTTATTTACCACTCCACTACTCGCTATCAGGTAACAGTATAAATATTGCTAATTTTTTGATCGCGTACTATGCTATAGCTGAGCTTACCAGTTTGATGTTGTAACGGCAACTGTATATATCTCAGTGACAATCTAAAGCGAGTTGGAATCAGAGTACAGTAAAGACTACGCTGAAGATCCTTCTCAAGTGTACTACTGGGCAGTACTTCTATTTCTTTGTTCTTTCTCCCTGTCCTATATTTTAATTTTTACCCATATCTCTTGTAACCACGACATATTCTTCAGTCTTCCTTGTCTTGGCCTTTGCTATTTGACTTTGGTTAAGGATTTACCTTCATTACTTGATCTTACTGCTGCATATAACCGGACTGGTGACGACAAGGCAGTTTTTGGCTAAAGTCAGGTTCACAACATGGTTCAGCTAATAACAGTTGACTTTTGGCTGCCTGCTGAAAACGGCTACTCGAAATTACGCAGATAGATATTTTCATCTTATTTTGTCGGAAACACTTGTAGAATTATGGTCTTATTCGGCATTATCACTAATATGATAATAGACCTAGTCCCCAAATTGTAAATTTGTCTGGACGTGACTACCTGATCTACAAGATCTCGCGTGGAGGTCACAGCATTATCTATTCTAACTCGTTGTATGGTGACACAGCATAACAATTTTTAGCACTTCTGATGAAGGCATTTGGGCCGGGGATATAATACTTTATTTCAATCTGAATAGGGATTTGTTACAAGGATGACTATCTCTGTAAGGCTAAGCCATACCCGAGATTACCAAAAGAATAATAAGACAAATAAAAAAGAAGGCTGCATTAACTGATCGGGAAATAAGTTCAATAATTCCGAAATGTTTGGTTTAGTTCTCGCATACTCGAAATGAAATGGCTGTCAGTATGACTTGATTTCCGGTCACAAAAGTATAACGGCGGAGAGGAAGAATTCCAACCAGTGTTTTTGTCAGATTCTCAAGTTTAAAACGGTCTATCTAGTTGTGGAGAGATCTCGATCACATTATTGATTAACCGTGATACGATTGGATAAAACTGTCAATACATATGAATGGTTATCAAAAATCCTTTTAATACATGAAAGTAATGATAATCATGTGAGTCTCCGATAGATAGTTAACATTTATCCGTTAGACATGAGTGGATCCGTGAAAGACTTTTTCTAGACTCAGTGCTTTGATGTGCGTTAAACCACTTATTTATATTCACACTTACGGGCTGATGGTGCATACAAGTTAGTTGCAAGAATCGAGTTTGGATTAAGGTAAAGATCGATTTATTTGGAATAGAGTCATCATAAGTTGTTGAAATCGACGGAGCCTATATGTCACAAGTATAGGCTACATGGTGTTGAACGATGTTTTCGGCTTAATCAATCTTTACAAGGTGATAAACAGTGAGAGCTGCTCAGGGAGAACACAAGTTATATCAATGCCACTACATACTCTTATTGTTTCTCACGTACCGAATACTTATTTATCAACCATTCATTTTCCTGTTTGGGACGTCATTACATCATAGACTAAACTTTGACTGTAATGCACAAGCTATTCCATGTGAGGTATTTTGCGCTTTTATATAATTTGTTTCTGTTCTTAGATAAGAACAGATCAAATTATACATATTCTTTGTGTTTTGATGTAATTTAACACCACCTGCTAAAAAACGCTTCGTAAGATATACAGAAGAACGTAGTTTGACCCAATCAAATAACGTAGGTTTGATAACTCCTCATTCATACCGAATCCCGGAATTTTGGTCGTTATAGAGATGGTAACCGTGGAAGTTAGTTTGTACACATATTCTTGGCCAGTCCGTAAACAAAACAAAATGATTGGAGAAGAAACAGGAAGACACGAGTTTCTAAACTTAAACGCACGTGTTTACCTAAACAAATATGACCATTCAGTTATTCAACCGGCTATTGCTCAATGAGCTCAGGCATTCAAACCTGAATTACATCGAATAGATGAGTTAATTAGGGACATAGGGTTGTTACCAGTTCCAAGAAACAAACGTTTCTACTAGCTCAGGAATAATACTTTCTGAATGAGTCGCGTAAAGTTTGTCCAAAAGAAAATATTTTAATCCATGGAAATATCAGTAGCTAACTTGCTGAGAACCGCAAACTTATTTATTTGCTAAAACATTAGTTGTTTCCTGCTCTGCAAGCATGCCATAATCCATAGTCGAAAAATGCACAACCCCAACCAGTTCACGGTAATTAATGTTATTATTCACAAACAACTTATTGGTTCATAAGTGTTGTAAAGAAACCATTCCTGGTTACGTCAGAAATGCAGTTACATATAAGTTCCAATAGCAAAAAGGCAAAAAATATCTAGAGTAGTATCTCTGTTTTGTCACATTTTCTCCCTAAATCTTACTTTGCATGCTAGGTTTACCGTTATTTAGAATGACTATTAGTACTGCTACCTTTGAAATCAAGAATAAAACTCAAATTTAAGAACATTTTAGATTTGATTATGTACTTATTCGTAATTAAAATAGTATGTATATAGTTATAACTGTAGTGGCATTGGACAATAGCCACACAATCCACAAAGCTGTGAACACGAGACTACTCAGAAAATAGATATTCAATATTTAACGCGGAAAAATACCTAACAATGAGGAAGGCGCGGAGAATGAATGGAATGGACTGGGGTTGATCGAGTGGCATGGCTCGGCCATGCAGGCGTGGTCCCTGCTGGATGTTATCCTATATCTCATTCATATTAAATATATTGTTCTTTCTCTAGCCTAACCTCGTTCTACATTATGTATTGGTAATTGATACGCTACAGTGAGTTGGTGTAGTCGATGGTGTGACTTCCACGTAAGATCTTATAGATTAGGCAGTTATATCATGACAAATCTACAAGTTTAGGATTAGGTCTATTATAAGAGCAGTAATAATATCGTAGTAGACCATAGTTCAACATTGGTGAGCCCAACTAAAGAAACGCAACCTATTATTATTAATCCTTATTTCCACTTCAACTTTCTCGATCGATTTTATATTTATGTTAACCCTGTATTCCAATAGTCCTCTGATTAATGCTCACATGCATTATCGTAATGTTATATTGATTAGTCCTCATGACAAACTAGCTCAATCGATAATAAAAACTGGTCGTCTATATTAACTAATTAGCTTTGATGATTTGTTAACAAGCTGTAATAGCATTTACATGCTTCAGCGACATAGTCTTGTTTAAACATCAAGCTCTAGCAAATATGACCTGTAAATAGCGTAAATATACATTGACTAACAATGCGATCAAGGACTAAATAGTTATCTGGATCTAATATTCAGTGTTCTTTATCTTATCACCTCATCCTGTTTTAAACGATGCACTATCCTGTAATATCTTTTCTTCCGACCACTGCCTGCCTAATTTCATATTCTCGAGTTCCATTGCCAAACAACGAGGATGACTACTCCAAAAACATACGGTGAGTTCCAGCTATAAGTTTTCTGAAATCATAAGTTCATTTTAGATGGCACACACAATTATCTGGATTCATTCGGTTGTTCTGATCAGAGCGAGTCCCAAAGACCTCAACAGCATCAAGCACCCTGGAATTAATTGCCATACTGCATGTTTTATTCTGGATGCTTTTGGATCATTACTACTCCTCACGAATGGCGTTATATATGTCGTCCACTGAATAATCT